CCGGTTCCCACATATAAGGGAAACAGATATATAATGCGAATCAGCAACGAATGCAATAAACAACAAAAATAAATAGACGCAAAAGCAAATTTTAAATTAATTGCAAACTGATGAGCTGAGAGTTGACCGTTTGTATGTGTGTGTGTGTGTGGGCGAGAGAGAGAGAGAGAGCGAGAGTGGGGGCGATACTTTCGCCATTGTTATCAGTCAGCGGCTTTGCATATGCAGACGCCAACTAACTGATAAGGCGCACTGTATGCGTCAGTCGTGATTGAACTGGGTGGCAACGCTGCTAGACGAAAGGCGAAAGTGAAGAGCGAGAGAGCGTGAGAGTGAGAGAGTTGAGTCTTACCGTTTGCACCGCCTCAATGGAATCCTTGCTGTGTATCGCCCAGAACATGGAGATGATGAACAGGAAATTGTAGAACTCGTAGGCGCCATGACCCCAAGTGCCGAGCATTGCATTCGATATGAAGATGAAATGCACAAAGGCAACGACCTGCAAGACAAACAGATTGAGGGAGCGGGAGAGGGGGAATGTTAGCTTGTCTATGAAATAAGCGGCTCAAATGAAGCCCCACAGTGAAGTTGCAAATTGCCTGCCACAAAAGTCGCCAACATATCGAATGGCAACTGCGGTTGCGTCGCTGCACTCCGCCCGCTGCTCGCCGCTCGCTGCTTACTGCATTATGTGCTAATAGGCAGCGCAGCGGCTGCAGCCGGGGGGCAGCGACTGAGCTGCGTTATCTAACACTGGACCGGCGCAGCCCACTAAGTGAAGCACAGAACTTGATGCTGCTGCTGCTGCTCTGCTGTTGACTGGCTTCAATGGCTACCACGCCCCCAGAGCACCCACACTCCCACACAGTTGCGCCCATTCATATTTACCTTGACGCGCACAAATTGGGAGCTCATGAGTTCATTTAAATCGGTCATTTTGTCGCTTTAGCAAATGCAGCTGCGCAGCCGTCGACACCTGTTGCCAAGCAAGAGTAAATAGGAATAGAAGAAGGAGTAGACAACAACCGTTGCTGCTGTCGCTGTCGTTGACACTGTCACTATTGACTGCGCTGTTTGCCTGTTTGCCAGCTGTTCCGTTATTTTAGTACTGTTCCACTTTTTACTCGTTGCTGTTGTTGTCAAATTCTATTTCACTTTTGATTGGTTGAACGCACTTTGCCAAAAAGAGTCCAACACGCAGGCACGTTGACACACACACGCACACACGCAAACACGCTGCTGCTATAAATACACGAACGCACGCTCTCACACACACGTACACGCACACATGGACAGAATGCAATTGTAGCCGCGCACTTGTTGGTCTTCAATCTCGGTTCTTTTTTTTTTTTTTGTGTTGTATTTTTTGCACAATTATTTTTAACGATTGCAGCCGCTTTTATCGTAGGGCGTAAGCACCAGAAAATAACAATAGCAACAACAATAACACACAAGTGCAGCACTTAATCAAATTCAACTAGGAGAATTTCCAAAAATTCCATCAATATCAACAACGACAACAACAACAAAGCACAAAGTGCGCCACAAGTGTCAACGAATGCAACGTATCAGCTGGGAGAGAATAGCACACAAAAAAAAAAAATGTTTATGCAGTTTCATTTACTGGTTGATTGACTTTATTTCACTATTATGAATAACAATCAAAAAAACTATTTATTTATTTGTGTGGCACACGAATAGAGCGCTCGACCTTATTCACTTTGCAGCTGAATGTGAACTGTGCATGGGGCAGCGCCAATCGACCAACAGATGTGTGAAAAATATAAATATGTATATGAGTGTGTGTGTGTACAAATAATAAAAAAAAAACAGCTCAACACGAACGGACCCCCAGCGACGTCGACGTCGGCGTCGGCGTTGCGGTGGCGTAATCAAAAGCAGTGCTGCACAACGAGCGCACATGCCAGGGCGACAGAAGTGCAATGTATCGATAGTTGGCTGTGTTGCTAGCCAAAACCATCGATGCTTTCAACTATTGTATTTTATTTATTTTCAGAGCATATTGAGTGAAGAGAGACCAGAAAGAGAATTTTTCAGATAATTATTAGGTGACCCAAACAGCAATTCAGTTGGCTCATTTATAAAATTAGTTAAAATATCATATGATAAATGGCAGCGCCAGTAAATTCAAATTTGAATAAATTTTTGTAGTGCTGTAAAATGTCAGTTTTAGCTGTGATATTTACACAAAAACAACACGTTAATTTGAACCGGTTATTTAAATTTTTCCAAATCCCACGATCTGGCAGCGCCATACACGGTTATCTAGCCGAACACAGTGAAGGAGTGAAAGAGACAGGGAGTAGGTGCGACTGCTGATAACGCTCGCTGTGAATTGTGGTCCCATTGTGAATATAGTCGACAGCGCCATGCCAAACCCTCAAGTAGAAGATCTGAGTGTTGTCACTTTGGAAAGGAAGCCGATTTTGCCGAAGCCCCCAGCCTTCATTAGCTACAACATGGTGCACAAGCTGGAGTGCAAGCAGAAGCGCGAAATAACCGTAAGCCAACAAAACTAATTTTATTTTAAAACATAAATGTACATATGCTTATCAACCTATGAATCTAGGTGCCCGTTCCAACCGTACCGGGGACAGCGACGGCCGGCGGCGAGCCGCAGCCGCCGAAATGCCAGTGGCAGTCGCCCAGCATGCTGATTGTGTTCGATGGGGGAGATCTGAACAGCGCCCGGCACCATCTGCTGAGCTCGCTGCAAGATCCGTTCCGCAAGTACGCGGTGGCCACGGTGCTCATCCAGGAGAGCGTGCGCGAAGTGTTCAACGAGCTGCTGATCGGGAGCATGAAGCCGCTCGACCCGAAGATCTACAATCATCCCAACTACGTGCGCTCTAAGGCCAAGCTGGCGCAGTGCAAGGCCGAGACGATTGTCGGTGACCCGAAGGTGGTGCCGGCGCATGCATCGCCCACACTGGTGTGCGATCTGACGGACAATTTCCTGGGCGATGAGCCCACTGGCATCATCACCATGCACACATTCCGCACGCCCAGGGACGCCACGCAGGTGCTCCAGAAGGAGACGATCAAGTACAGCTTCGTCAGCATCTGGAACGAGAAGGTGGCCAGCGCCTACGAGATCTGCGCCCTGCTCAAGAACGAGATCTTCATGATCAACTGCTTCAACGTCGACCTGACGCCCATCCTGCCCAAGGGCGATAACTTCACCACCGATGTGAGGATCGATAAGGGCTACCACTACGAGCGCCTCACCATCAATCAGAAGCGCAAGATCATTGTCTTTGCAGTGGGCACGATCTTTGCCAATTGAAATGCCATCCAAATACTCCAGCATGTATATACATGTGTGTACATAATGTATATATGTACATATATAAATATACATATATTCCAATTTCTGTTTTTTTTTTTTTTTTAAATAAATGTAATTGTATTTCATTTGCTGAAGTTGTTTCTTATCAGATTAGTTTCTTATGAGATAAGCAACAGTTAAGCTGTTATTGCTGGTACGTGCGTCGCTGACTGACTAGCAGATACCCTGCATGCATTGTACAAAACACAAACAGATTAACTCTGTTCTTGTCGAGCATTTGCAAGCAGGTATGCTCGACTAGCACATACTCTGTAATTAGTAGACAAAATACTTTCGTCTATCGATGATAAAAATGAGAGACCTGCCAATACCCTGTAGGCATATTTTTATATACATTTATTTCTATTTTCTAACTATGAACAGCTGAAAATTCCGACTAACAGATACCGTGTAGGTAGCACATAAAAATAAACATACATACATATGTATTTACTCAACTTTTATAGTCTACTTATATCTAATACATATCATTGATAGTTTACAAACCTATCACGTGCTTAGAAACAAATTGACCCCACTTCTTTGGCCACATTTTCAATGGGCATCGACTCACACTCTTTTCGGCTCAGGGGGTGTGTATTTGTTTGCTCAACTAGGTCGTTGCCATCTGCCTAAATATATAAAAATTTATATATATTTAGCATGCCTCAAGCGTTTAATCGGAGCTTTGTCCGATTGACAGTTTCTTTCTAATTAGATGACTCACTCAAATATAACAATTATTTATGTGCTAATTGTTTAAATAATGCGAAATGAAAGCCAGCAGCTGGGTCAACTGTTTTATAATTTTTCATTGAACTTTGCAGTTCGAATACTCTGTTATATATATATTTCATTGTATTTCTTTCAACGAGAGCAGGTTTAACAATTTAAGCAAGAATTCGCTGAGAACCTGTTTCAGCAAAGATTTTTATACATTTCAATGTCAAAGATGCGTTGTGCTAAAGTCAAAACAGCACACGATATCATAACTTCGACTTGAAGATAAGATAAGTTTACTTCTATCTACAAATGTATAATAATATATATTATATATTTACCTTGATAAATTAATATGACGAGACAGAATTCTTTATAATATAAGATAATACACAAATAAACTTTAGCATTATCATTAGTAAGGTGTATGACATTACATTGAGCAAAGCGTATTCAAAGTTCGTTAAGTTTACAACGAAACTTTTCCCGATTGGCTGCTCCTTTTAATGAATATGCATATGTATGCATTTCGTATTGCGCACTAACAGTCACATAGATATGCGCACACTGACACATCGCTGGGCGTGTGTACGTGTGTGGGAAGTAAAAGTAAATGTAAACAATGGCTAAGTATTAGTTGCTGGTGCTTAACGAAGAGAGAGAGAGAGCGAGCGCAAGCGAGCATGAGAGTGTAGAGTGTGTAAGTGTGAGTAACCATTCACTTCTTGCAGTTGTTGCTGCACTACTTTCCTAAGCCAAAGCTGTTACTGAAAGACGGCGACGGCGAGGAAGACCGAGAGAGACAGAGAGTGAGAGAGCGTGCGCGCGCTAGCAAGAGAGTGTCACAACAACAACAGCAGTTATATATCGTTTTTATTGTGTTTAGATTTAGTTGTTGCTTTTGCTTTGCTTTGGCTTTGCTGCTGTTGCTGCTGCTGGTGGCCAAACGGTTCAGTCGCTGCCAGCCGCAGCTGTTGGTGAGTTGTCTTTGGCCCTGGTTGTATGTGTATTATTGTTGTTGTTGCTGGTGCTGGTGTTGGAGCTGCTGCTTCTGCTGCTGCCGTTGGAAAAGAAAAACGGAAAAGAGAAAATGTGCTGGCAATTGCACAAGAATTATTAACAGCAGCGCGTAAAAGAAAAAACGAAACATTTCAAGGCGATTATTATTATTAGAATTAGGTTTTGGAAAAGTCAACTATAATCACAACCACACAACAACAAGAACAAGAACAACAACAGCAGAAGCAGAAATGCCGCCGCATCGCTGGACAGATGAGACGCGTGACGCCACCTGCTACTATGACAATGTGGCAACAGCAGCAGCTGGTGGCGCCTCCGATGCGGATGACGATGACACCGAAGTGGATGACGAGCGTCAAGCGCTCTGCGAAGCCGATGCAGACGGCGACCGTCCGCTGATACGAGGTAAGTCCGATTGGCATAGTCATATTGGAGTCCAATTCATCATTTCTGCTTTTCCAGCTGGCCAGACGGACCACAGCAGCAGCAGCAGCAGCAGCAGCAGCTGCGGCCTGCTGCAGTCGCGTCATATCTTCGGGCTAATGGGCTTTCTGGGCTTCGCTGTTGTCTATGCCATGCGCGTAAATCTCTCGGTGGCCATTGTGGCCATGGTCAACCAAACGGCCATTCCGCACAGCAACAGCTCCGTGTTGGCCAACGATACGTGCCCAATGCCGCCGGCTCCGACGCCGAACGGCTCCTTCTGGCAGTCCCTGTCCACGCCCGCTGAGGGCGAGTTCGTGTGGGACGAGGCGACGCAGGGCCTGGTGCTGGGCAGCTTCTTCTACGGCTACGTGCTGACCCAGGTGCCCGGTGGCCGCATGGCCGAGCTGGTTGGCGGCAAACGCATCTACGGCTACGGCGTGCTCATCACGGCGATATTCACGCTGCTGACTCCGCTGGCTGCCCACTGGAACCTGCCGCTGCTGGTACTGGTGCGCGTCCTGGAGGGCATGGGCGAGGGCGTCACCTATCCCGCCATGCACGCGATGCTCGCCCACTGGATACCGCCACTGGAGCGCAACAAGTTCGCCGCCGTCGTCTACGCCGGCTCCAACATTGGCACCGTCATCTCCATGCCGCTGACAGGCTGGCTCTGCTCGCAGAGGTTCCTGGGCGGCTGGCCGTCGGCGTTCTACATCTTCGGACTGCTGGGCCTGGTGTGGTTCGTCTGCTGGATGTACCTGGTGTACGACCGGCCCAGCGAGCATCCGCGCATCTCGCGCAAGGAGCGCGCCTACATCGAACGCTCGCTGCAGCACGTACAGCAGCTGCAGCAGCACCACCACCACCACCATCACCAGCAGGTGCCGGACGAGGATGTCCTGGAGGATGAGCACGATGAGCCGGAGCCGGCTGCCATTGAGGAGGATGCCATACCCTGGCGCTCGCTGCTCGGCAGCGTTCCACTGTGGGCCATTCTGCTGACGCAGTGTGGCCAGAGCTGGGCCTTCTACACGCAGCTGACGGAGCTGCCCACCTACATGAGCAACATCCTCCACTTTGACATCCAGTCGAATGCCCTGCTCAATGCCGTGCCGTATCTGACCGCCTGGTTCGTGGGCATCGCCTGCTCCGCCCTGGCGGACTGGATGCTCGCCCGTCGCTACATCTCCCTGCTGAACTCGTACAAGCTGTGGAACAGCATCGCCTCGGTGGTGCCGTCGCTGGGTCTGATTGGCATCATCTACGTGGGCTGCGACTGGGTCTGGGTCACCTTCATGCTGGCCGGCGTTGGCTCGTTCGGCGGCGCCGTCTATGCGGGCAATCAGATGAATCACATTGCGCTCAGTCCCCGCTATGCGGGCACCATGTACGGCATCACCAACTCCGCGGCGAACATTTGCGGATTCCTCGCACCGTATGTCATCGGATTGATAATCAACCATCGGGAGACGCTCACCCAGTGGCACATTGTCTTCTGGCTGGCAGCTGGCCTCAATATTGCCGGCAATTTCATTTACCTGATCTTCGCCAGCGCCGATGAGCAGAAATGGTCCCTGACCCAGACCCAGACCCAGACACGGACACGAACACGGACTTCAGGAGCCACTCGACCTTTGCGCATCTAGCGACGGCTCCGAGCGCCCAACAGCTGCACAAAGTCGAATCGCTTTAAATTAGTTAGGGCATAAGCATGTGTGATAATTCCGTGTGGAATAATTTCTTAAGTTCCCAGCCAGCGGATGACGACGACGTCACAGTATTCCCCCTCCCAGTCCTCAGACTCGCTACACTCTCCACTCGGTTTCTAACGAGCTCTCAGTTCTCCTCACTAATTGGAAACTTTTTGCTCACTTCCCGGCTTCCAGCTCAAAGTTATCCAAGCTCTTCCAGTCCCTTTCCAATGGCTTACAATTTCCGAAACACATTTCTTAGATGGTTTTCTGTTATTTTCCAGTAGCTCAGAATTATCCACACTCCTTCAGTGATTTCCAGTCAGTTTCCAATAGCTATGATCACTTCCAGCTGCAATATTTGCTCTTCCACTACACTTCTATTTTCCAATAACGAAAACTTATCGACTATAATCAATTCCAGCCGTTATTTTACCATCTCCAATGGCTTCCAGTATCTGAAAGATCTTTCAATCTCATCAAGTCACTTTCCAATAATTCCCAATTTCCACTTTTTCGCTACTATGCTCACTTACAGTAGTATTTGTGGCACTTTAAATGACTCTCAATAACGCTTCCAATGCCTTCCAGTAGCTTCATGGGCTATGTGCAATTACAGCAGAACTTATAGCGTTTAAAAGTTGAAACTCAACGCTATCTAAGTTCTTTCAGTAACTTTCCAAAACATGCTAACTATATACTTCCATGGTCTTCTTTTTACTCAGTTTCCAGTGCTGAACATGGTGCTTCCAGTATCGAGGACTTTCAGTCCTTTCATACGTTCCACTGGCTATGACTTCCAGTCTATTCGGTGGCAACTTCAAAAGTTGCTATCCATCTTATTTATGTATATCAAATATAGCTCCAATTGATCCCCAGCCGGGCTAACAAAATGGCAAAATCAACTAAGGTTTCGTCTACTCTATAAATTGTGGAGTGGGAACAGCAACCAGACAGACAGACAGACAGACAGACAGATATCGCTCTTAACAACGGACTGTGTTTTGCTAGATGTTTTTCTTTTATATATATATAACAGTACATACCTATACATATACATATATACTATATATACAACATAGGCACTAGAGTTGACCTATAACTATATAGCTTTAGCAACGAAATTTTACGAACTATACATATACCACATATACAGGATGTATTCCGATATAACTATATACATATACATATACATATATATATTATATACATTTATGCCTTAAGACTATATAAATTATGTGTACATAGCACCAAGAGAGGCATTTTAATGCCTCACATCGATATAAATTATTCAAGAATAAAGTCGCACAAACATATCGTCAATGTGATTGGTACTAGTGAGTGGTATTAGCGATTGGCACTAGTGATTGGCTTGTCCAGTTGGCAGCACATTCTAAAATTCTGTTGAGAATTCAAAATGGAATTGAAGATTTCCAATTGGACTTTGCCTTACTTCTAGGCCAGGTTAGTAAATATATATATGGATGTATATCTTTAAAGATATCATATTCATATCACTCATAGAGTCATTTCTTCTATGCATGCTATATCATACTGCTCTACAGCTCTACAGATACTCCAACTATCTTTCTATAGATCAACGTTGGTTGCCATAAATTAAAGGCATCTCCCTTAAGCTATACTCAGATCGCGAATACCAACTGAATTTTCAATATATTTTCAAGAAATAAAACGTTTGCACATTTTTCGTATATATTTTTATCTTTATTAAGTATATTAATAATGCCGCTTTATCATTTTTTTTTCATTTGTCGGTCGCTACCGATAACTAATTACTGGGTACTGTGGGGAGTACGGGAGACTCGGGTTTAGGGGCGTTACAATTTCTCTTCTTTTTTTTCATTGATATGACATTCATATATTACAATTGAAATACAAATAGAATTAGTTATATAGTACACTCATACATATATATATATACATATATGTCTATATATAGTTATATATATATACTATGTTCGTACTATCGCGCTTTTTATAGTAGTAAAAGCCATAGTTATTATATATAAAAAAAAAAAAAAAAAAAAAAAAAAAACAAGAAATATAAAATCACACAAGAAATAATAACATCGATGGGAAAAAATTAGACGCCCCTCAATATAAATATGTTCATACATATAGATATACATATAAATATATATATATATATTAGTGCTTTTCTATATAGATATATAAAAATAAGCTTATACAAAACATGAGCATAATCGGGTGCACTATCATGAGCATGTTCCTGACTTTGACCTTGAGCGCAGTTGATGATCGTGAATGGGACCTTGATCCTGATTGTGACCATGACAATGATTCTGGCTTTGGTGAAGATCGGCCCCGTAATATTGTGCTCGTATCTTTTCAAAAATAATGAATCATTGGCATGATATTACGATCGAATGATGTTTAAGAACCAAAATCTGGTCATGATCGTTACGATCAAGTGGCTCATTCAAGAATACTTAGTAATGATGAAAGCGTTGTGATCGCAACTTGGAACAGGATCATGATCGTGATCATATTCACATATTCCTGATGGAAACGATCGTAACTATGAGCAGGACTTCGATCTTCCGATTTTCAGATTTCGATTGTGGGAATAAGCCAAATCATGTTCATTACTATTTTGATCAAGACTCCTAGAGAAATCTTAAATATGCCCCCGACTCGGAGCATGATTTTGACCTTGATCTTAGGCTTTCAGTTATGGCCAAGACAACGATTATAATTGTAATCACGATCAACTCATAAAAGCCCAAGTCGACCCCATCACGATTATGATCCTGTCTCAAGTAGCTGAGCCAACGCTGTTTGTGATGATGAGCATGATGTGATTCGCTCGCGATCCGTTGTCGCCAGGAACATGCTGATGAACGTGTCCTCGGGATTGTGTTCTCATGACTACCAGACGCTGCACTTCTTCGCCGGATTCATGGTGGTGCCCACGGCACAGTTGTAGGCATTCGCAAAGTCGCGTGAATTCGAAAGCGGCCCAAGGACGCGCACAAAGCCGGGCGAATGCACCGAGGATCGGATCTTGGTTAACGCATCCTCCGGCCGCATGCTGCCGCACCAGATCTGTGCATAGTTGAGAAAAAAGAGCTGATCGTGCGTCATATTGAGCGCCGGCAGCTGCTGCTCGCGTCCATTCAGCCTCTCCCACTTCTTGTAGGCCTGCAAAGCAAAATTCCGAATATAAATCGAGTTCAATTCGAGTTGGTCGTGCGGCTCACTCGAAATGACTGCTTGAGGCCGCCATTGTCGGCGATATTCTCGCCCTGGGTCATGCGGCCGTCCATGAACATGTCCACCTCGTTGATCTTGTAGCGCGAATACTGATCGATGACGCATTGGGTGCGCTCCCGGAATGCCTCAATTGTGGCATTGTTCCACCACTGCATCATGTTGCCCTCCTTGTCGAACTGCCGTCCCTTGTCATCGAAGCCGTGGGTGATCTCGTGGCCGATCACCACGCCGATGCCGCCATAGTTCAAGGACTTTGGAAAGTGCTGACTATAGAACAGCGGCTGCAAAATGCCAGCCGGAAATACTGAAAGAGACAGAGGTCATTCAACATTTGAGATCATTTGAGTTGACAATCTATTTGAGTTCGAGCCGCAGTCGCACCTATATCATTCTTGTTGGGATTGTAGAAGGCATTGACCACGGCGGGCTCTGTGGTCCATTTCTCCTTGTCCACCGGCTGGCGCAGCAAATTGAGCAGCTTCTCCGACTCCCACTGCAGAATGCTGAACACGTTGTCCAAAAAATTGTCCGGAACGATCGTCAGCTAGGGTCAACGATCAATGAGAGAGATGGGTGAAGAGCACAGCTGAAGTTGATGCAAATACCTACGTTCACATACTCCTGCTCCAGCTCCGTGACATTGGTGAGCACCTCCGGATAGCCGATGCGTTCGTTCATCGAGTCCGCCTTCTCCTTGGCCACGGCGCGCGTCTCGTCGTCCATCCAGTGGTTCTCGGCGAGCAGCTCATTGAATGCGGCCCGGATATTGTGTATCATCTCGAGGGCCACCTCCTTGCTGTCCTGATTGAAATTGTCCCGTATGAACAGAGCGCCAACGGCCACGCCCAGCTTCTTGTTGGTCCACTCGACGCACTGCGACCAGCGTGTCCGCTCCGACTGTATGCCCAGCAGGATCTTGCGGAACTCCACGCGCTCGCGCTGATACTCGTCGATCATGTGCGTCATCAGGGACATGACCAGGCGCCAGAGCATATAGTTGTGGACCACCCGCAGATCCGTCTCGCGCAATATCCGACCCATTTCGGTCAGGTAGACCAGGCCGTAGGTCACCAGCGGCTCATTCGCGTCCAGCTGAATGCCCGGCCCGACGGCCGTCTGCAAATACTCCGTCCAGTTGAGCTCCGGCACCCGCTCCTGCAGCTCCGGCAGCGTCAGCTTCTTATAAACGGCGCTCGTGTCGTGCCGATCCGCCTCCGCCAGCGACACGTTGACCAACTCCGTCTCGAACTGAATCACCTCCCGCAGCTCGTCGGCCGCCGTGGCCGGATCGGCGCCCAGCAGCAATGAGATCTGGGTCATGTACTTGTGGTAAGCCTGACGATCGTTCTCGCTGTTCGGCTTCAGGTAGTAGTCGCGCGAGGGCAGCGCGTACTGCAGCTGATCCATCTGGATAATGTTCACGGAGCTGTTCTTATCGTCAGCTCCCACATATAGCTCGATCATCACCGATTCGCTATAGTTGAAGCGCAGCTGGCCCATCACCTGCTCCACGCTCAAGTTCGCCGGCGGCTGCCAGTTGCGCTCGATCACCGGCCAGCCGCCCAGGGAGCGCAACACCCTCTTGAGGCGACCGACGCCAACCTTGCGTATCTGAGCTGGAAGCACAAGTGGATATAACGATTAGATACCCTGGAAAATGCATTCTACACACACTAATTGCCACTCTAACTGTCATCTATGATCTACGGTATCACTCGTATAACTTTTATTCACATTTTAAGCTAAGCTCATTATCGATAACAGGTAAGCTAATGATCGATAACAGTGTAATGTCGTGTAATGCTGATGGCGATAACATGAATTCACTCTGATTGGCCTCTATCCACTCCATCTCCAAATCACAACGAGTAAGTTATCGATCACGAATGAATTGGGCAGTTATCGATATCGGTTAAGATCATAAATAGTTTAATTTTTCCACATAAATATATCCAAATATTTGTGTTAATAGCTTTATGGTATAATTACTATTTATCGATTTCGATACTTTTTGGTAAGTGGAGATATATAAATCATTTATATATTGACAAATTTATGTTCCACAATATATGCGCTAATTATTTGAGATAGTCATATATAATTATCGATAATGAGCTCCATTGCAAGTTATCGATAATTTTCAAGATTGTTAAAGTGGTGAATTGATAATGAGCTTATATTTTCTGATTAGCCATATACTTGATAAGTATCAATGTCAAGTAAATCTACATGTTATCGATAATATAACAAATTTGTTTTCGATTAGCTGACTATACAATAACCATATTCCAGTTAAACTCTTCACTATTTATGATTATTATCGATAAAGTGAGTTCGAGAGTTATCGATAATTTTAAATTACGTGCACATATGATTCATGCATCAAATGTAGCTTGACTATCGATATTTATCGGGTTTTGAAGAACACACTCAGTCAATCAGTAAAATTTGATTTGAAAATGTTTAAGGATTGCTTCAGTTATAACCATAGCTTGCAAAAAACTGTTAACACTTTTTCGTTGTCTGCAAAAAAGTGTCTTTCAGTGACACAGTCAAAAAAACTCAGACAGAAAGTGTTTTTGTCGCGTCTGGCTTAGCTCTCTCGCGCTCTGAGGGAGATAGTTGTTTCTGTTTTCGTTTCCTCAAGTCAAACACTGATCGTGTGCTTGAGTTAAAGAAGTAACGGTAAGTTGCGTTTGTATGGGTAATCACGCGCGATTGCTGCGTTCTTTTTGTATGTATGTATGCGTGTATTTACATGCACACGAAGGCAAAAACATTTTCTGCTGAGTTTGTTAGTCAAAGTGTTTTTTGCTGAGAAGCTTTGTGTGAGGGAAAATCGTGTTAGTTTTACGCGACACTCATGTGAGAGCGTCACACGAATGAGTGATCGCATTGCGTCTGAGCGAAACAGATGCTAAAGAAAAAAGAGAGTGACGCTCAGAGAGAGACGTGTCTACACAATTTTTTTTTGGGTATGATGCGAGAAAGAGAATAAACGAAAAAACGCTCAACTCTCATTTGCAAGCTCTGGTTATAACTTATAAGGCATATACATGCACATATATACATATGTCTACTCACGCAGATCCATGCAGCTCTTGAAGAACGCCTTCGCCTTGACCGTGGCCGCATTGTCGTGCTCATCGACTGGTTCCTCCAGGACGCCACGCAAGACCAGCTGCTGCTGGTCGGAGAGCACCTACATATGTGTTGTTCCATTTCAATTAGAGTTCAGTTTCAACTTGCAATGCAGATCAGAACTCACCTCAAAGGTGCTGATCGAGCTGCGATCCTCTGGTATGGGATGCATCTTGTTCCATGTGCCGCATGCGAATTGAAAGAAATCATCGCACGGATCTGCCGTTAGGTCCATGGCGGACAGCAGTGAAGCAGCTGCAGAAAGTATTCCAATCAAACAAACAACAACAATAACAATCATAAATCAAGCGCCTATCGAGCCAAAAGTCTGGGAAATAGTTCAGCTGTGCGTGTTATTGAAATTCCAGGCCATAATTCATGTTCGCTTCGATCATAGAAAAGCGTCGAATGGAGCTAATTGAATGCACAACTTTTTATCGAAGCCCTAATCTGCAACCATTAATACCCTGTAACACTGATAAAAGGGGTGCGCCTCGTATGAGGGTATCTTTGAAATTTATCGAAATAATTGGATGTTTAGAGGGAGAGAGGAGGAAGGGACAGAGGTAGAGATAGGAAGAGTTAGTGAAAGTGTGACAAAGGAATAGAATAAGAGAAAGAATGAGAGAGAGATAGAGAGAGAGAGAGAGAGAGAGAGAGAGAGATAGAGAGAGAGAGAGAGAGAGATAGGTAGGGATATAGAGAGTAAGGGACAGAGGTAGACTTAACTATCTCAAGAGCGAGAAAGGAAGAGCCAGAGGTAGAGGTAATCAGAGTTCAAGAGAGAGAGAGAGTGAGAGATAGCGAGCGAGGAAGAGAGAGTGAGAGAGAGCAAGCGACGAAGAGAGAGTGAGAGAGACATAGAGACCTTTTGTAGTTTGCTCAATTCGAGTCCGAATTCATATGGCAAAATGTCTGCAAACTAATCAATTACACTTTACAGGGTATCATTCGAGTCGATTCACACATTGTTGTGCACTCTCATTTGTGTGTGACAACAATTATCGCCCATAACTTTGGCCGTTGTCTGACTTTGAGCTGAAAACTTTGTTTTCCGCCTTTCATAGGAAGTCGAGAGTCCTTGCGCTTAGCTGGGTTAATAGTGAGGGGGAGGGGGAGCGGGGGGTTGGCTGGCCGCTCTCTAGGGTTTGTTTGAAAGCGTCTGAATGAACGAGATAGACCATAAATCAGACAGCACCAGCATTGCTCAATGAAACATATTGAAAAGTTTGTTTGCTTGGCGATAATTATTAAGAATTTGCTTTCAGCTAATTGAAAGTGTTGCATTTGAATCGAATACCCAACTAACCAGATACCCTGCGAGCTATGCATTGAGTGCTGTTTGAATTTAAATTTCTAGTTTTCAAATTACATATGTTCAAGGAATGTTGAGGAAATAAATGCCATTCATGTATCAGACGAGGTACTCTGCTTGGTGTTTTAGTCTTGGTATTTTATTGGTAGGGGCACAGAAGGGGTTTCTCTATATATTATAGGATGAGTTCTGTTCTGGAATGTTTATATGTGCATGCAGAGTGCATATATGTACATATGTATGTACATTTGAATGCTAATTGGTCTTTAAGCTGGCACTTGGACGGGAACGTCTTAGCACTTACGCTGCAGGCCAGCCAATACATTAGTCAGCGATCGTATTACGGCACTTTTGTATGGTTGAGTTATGGAAACACAGCGACAAAGTCTCACTATGTTCATGAGCGTAATTCTCTGGCTTTATATGACCACATGAGATATTGTATACTAGGGTTGTCGAATATTTTTAAAATATCGTATCGATGATATTTTAAGTTTTGAAAAATATCTATATGATATTTCATATATCATGTATCGATATTTCGTTTTTTATTTTTCTTAAAATGTTTCCACAATAAAAATGTAATCAGTCACTAGAATAATAAAAAGAAGTATTTTTAATTTATATGATAAATAACGCTTAGCTCTAGTATTCGGTACACAAAACTATCTAAGTGTTTTTTTTTTTCATATGCGACGCCATAGCTTACATCAGGCACTTGTTTTTATTACATTAAGGCACAAATTACATATGAATGTTCCATTTTGAAAGTCCGAATAATTTCTTTTCACCATATTCAGTTTTTGTACTTTTCTATATATAATATCTAATAAAAATAGTCGATATTTAGCCAATAAATATATTCTGATATAAATATAATTTTATACAAAAAATATCGATATATTGATATTTTGATATATTTTCGACAACCCTATTGTATACACTATAATGCGATGGGCATATGCTTAGCTCAATTACTGCCTTAAATTTGTTGAAATGCTTTTGCCTTTCAATTTTCACAGATTTTAGCTTCAGACGAGCCTGAGATTGATATCTATATATCTGGGACTAGCACCCAGTCCCAGGGGGAGATGATCGGAGGAATGGGGTCCTTGAGTCTTATTAAATTGACTGGGTTCGAGTTTAGAGCTTTAAAGAGCTTTAAAGATCTAATCGAATTTGATTTTGATAACTGTCCTAGTCCTAGTCCTAATCCTATGGGATCTTATTGTGATGAGACTGGTATAAGCTATAGGTATACAAGCTAAAACGTACCTCAAGCAATATACCTCGTCTTGGCACTTGCCGGCCGAGTATATGGCTTAAACACAGAACAAACACATGATTCACAATTGTTGGCTAGCACGTTTAAGACGCAAGAAATTTCTGGTATGAAACTAGAAAATGGCACAACTAAAGCTAATTCTCCCTGCCTTTGACAGCCCCTCCTCCCCTCCCCCCATATCTATCTCACTGTCTCTCGTCTAGTTTTATCAGGCAGCTTCAGCTTTTAGTTCACATCAAAAATTTTGTGGTTACGCCTGTTGCGTATTGGCCATAAAAACAAACGCATATAATTAATGAAAGAGATGAGGCGAGATAGAGAGAGAGGGCGAGACGGCGAGAGGGAGAGAGAAGGATTATTGTTGCCACATTTGGTGGCAAATGAGCTGTGGCATATGCGGCAAAACGCAGCTAGCGCCAAGGAAGACGAGGCAAATGTGTTTTGGGGTCTACATTAACTATTCTAAGACGATTATGCATTTGTTATGCATGCATGCGATGTGGCATGCGGCATGTGGCATGCGGCAAGCGGCATGCCACCGAGCACCAAATGTCACATTCCCAGCAATGGCCCATAAAAAGGTCGTTAAACGTTGCTGTCTTTGACAACTTGTCAGTTGGCGAATGCAACCACTCGAACGGCTCGAGCCACTTGAAGCCCACTTGAAGCACTCCACTTGCCACCCCCACCGCAGCCCCCTGCTGCTCCACACATCCTATATTATCCGCACTTAGCCACAATAATTGCTAATTAATAATTGAGAGGCGCATTCAACGGAAGCATTTGCGCATGCATTCCGACAGCGAACATCAACCAGGTCCAACCGAGGTACTCCAACCCCGCCCCCGCCCCCGCCCCCCCCGGCATCAGTCACCTGCCACCTGTTCACTCACCTGTTCGCACGCATTCCTGTGTCATGCAGATGTTGTTGTGACTGCCATCCAGGTTAAAGCTGCCATCGCCTGTAATTAGAGGGCATTTAAACTGAGTTTACTGTGACTTGCCACACACACACACACACACACACACACACACACACACACACACACACACTGACTCGCGTCGATTTAAAAACCACTCAAGTAAATTAAATTTGAATTTTACATTTAAAAGGATTTTGCACTGGCAAATTGAAGCAATGAGTGAAGCCCAGTTGCAAGTGGAACGACTAGTAAATACCCTGGAAAAAGTACCAAATGGGATAAACAAATTTATTGCTTGACTAACTGAATGATTGTCGAGGCGAAAGGCGCTCAATAAGATATGATTTATAAAGAAAACTCTGAGTCATCGACTAGTAAATACCCTAGAAAGTGTGGAGCTGGAAATTAAAGTATTAAATTAAAGTATTAAAGTATAAAATAGATTTACTAATTGAAGAGTATTGACTACTTGATACCCTATAAAAAATTGGATATGTATAAACTACACAATGATTTAATTGATTGATAGGATTTTAAATACCATATATTTGATTGAATCCAAATTCAATGATTGCCGTGACATAATATTACTAAAGAACAGATACAAGATGTCGACTAGTTCATACCCTATACAAAATTTGAGTTCACCAAATTAAAGACTGATTGATTGATTGATTGACTCATAGATTAGGGAGAATCAGCTTAATAGAATAATTGCTTAAGCTAAGTTTTATCTAGCGACTCGAACATACCCTCTAAGACAACAATGGCTCATACAAATTGACTGATTAAATATTAACATTGATTAAAATATAAACAGTTTTAAGAAATGATTGATTGATTGATCGATGGTTTCTATAGATTCTGCAAAGTCTAATGAGGAGAATAGTCGAATATTGTCTTTAGGGTTTCCTAAAAGGAAGTAGAGTTATGAAGGACTGACAGATTGACTGACTGACAGATTGAAGGGCAAATGCCACAACTTGGCAAATAAAAAAGGGAAATGATTGATTAATTGAACAACAAATGAAAAGGATTACAATTTCCGAGCATTCACTTTATTTACTTGCTCTAGAAATTTTGATCTAACTCTCATACTTTGCTAACCCATATTATTGGTAGGTATACCACTACACCTTCTCTATCTTCCTTTTTCTCCCATCATTCCCTTAATTTTGCTGTCACTTTATTTTGAATGAAGGGAATGACAGCGTTTTTGCGATTGTGTCAACATTGCGGTCGATAACTCATCGATTGGCGTTTGGAGACACGCCACATGTTGCATGAGTTCATTTAATTATTGGCGAAATTAAAGAGCCCAATGACTGAGCGGCAATTCTCTACCTTTTCCTAACTCCAAGGCACTTTCCATTCTATAATCAAGCAGAGAGCTTTGCTTCTGGTTTGGTTAGTATGAAGTTGCCTAGCCCTACCTCGCCTTTACCTCCCATCATCTTTTCATCATTTGTCGTAACTGCTGGATAGGTTCCTTGCTACGTCTTGCCTATCTCCACAGTCCTTAGGGAGTCTCCTATCCCTGTTTCGCGTTATCCCTTCTTCATCGTTTGTTGCTTTTTCTGGCTAGGTTCCTTCCAGCGTCTTTCCTTAGCTAGTCTTAGCTTCCAAGCAGCTTTAGATAGGTCTTCCTATCCCTGCCTCGCCTTATCACTCATTCATGTCTGATCTGGTTTCGCTTTATAAAGGACTTCCTTCTTGCCTTAGCTCCGCTCTACCCGTCATACCCTACGACCCTTCATAATCGACTTCCTTCCGAGGCACCCCCCTTTCCTTTCCCCCTTTTACTCTAGCTTGTCTTGGCTTCCAGCTGACGCTATACACGGACTTTGCGAACTTCCGACCTATCATCAAATAGGTTGAGGCTAATTGGTAGTTATCAACGTCTCGGAACTAAGTAGAGGACTTAGCCAAGGCAGGACTAGGACTGTCGCCCTACCTTTACTTAGCTAGCATTCATAAATACTATATTAAATTGTCTAACTGCTCTCCTTTCATTTTTGATACACTTTCTATACACATATACATATATATAGACTATAAAGTCCCATAATAATCAATTACTTCCAGCAATAACAACCAGAGCGGAGCTTTGGGCTGCCCGTGAAGGGGCAGAGCTCGGCGCTTGGCCTAACTGACATCAAGTATTTATAGAAGTTGTTGTTTATTTTTATCGAAAAATAGTATAGTAAGTGGGTATGGATGTGTGCGTATATGTGTGTGTCTGTGTGTGTGTGTGTGTATTGGGCTTTGATGCTGGTCAAAGTAAAAAAGAAAAAAAATTATATATCTCGAAAAAGATGAATGAATATTTTTGTTATTTTGGCGCTAAAACGCACGTTTTACAACACATAAGTGTGTGTGTGTGTGTGTGTGTGTGTGTGTGTGTGTGTGTGGGCATGTCATTCAATTAGGGCGCACAAGCAGGAGACACACACACACGTACACACACTCATATAGAGCCAGAAATCGATTACAACAAATTCATAGGCGAATTGATTGGTTTTCTGTCCAAAATGAAAATACATTGAGCGAGTGTTGCTTAATGTTGTAGATAAAGCCGCAAAGCGGATGGGGGGCGCGAAGTTGTAAGTGGGCGGGGTCGACAGGTCGCCTATAGGACACTGGGAGCTTCAAGCAGTGCTAAGCAATGCGGATCGTATGTAATTCTTTACTTTTGCTTTTTGTTAAACAGAAAACGCTTTAGCCACAAAAGCCAAGCCAAGTCAAGTTGGTGTCAATGTTGTTGTTGTTGTTGTTGTTGTTGCTGCTGCTGCTGCTGCTGGTTGTTGCCTGTTGTTTGACATATTTTGTAATTGAATTTCGAAACGCGCGCGGAAATGAAAGGCGCCTACAGCAAACTGGGCGATGGATTGGGTTGGGTTACGTTAGCTCTTATAGCGCCTTGCTTTGGCTGCCTGGGTGGCAATTGCTACTCCTGCTACTCCTGCTACTGCTGCTGCTGCTGCTGGCATTTGTAACCACAGCCAAAGCCCCAAACTCCAAGTGGCAGCCTGTTGCTGCCTTTTGCCTGCTGCCTGTTGCTGCGTCCTGTTGAAAGGAAATTAACTTTTTCAGCGCCTTGCAAAGGGCTTTTCCCATTTCTCATGAAACTGGGCACTCAGTATATGATATATGTATATAAATATACATATATATGTGACACTATATAGAATTATTTAACATCCGGAGAAAGACTATAGACAATATGTAGCAACTCTGTCTCCCTCAACTATGCTTCCAGAACTCTTTTGTACAGCTCCAGCAATATCAGAGTTCAATTAGATCCTAGTCTTCCAATATGTATGTACATCATCATCATATGTTAGTCTAATTGTTCTTTATCATACACCATTATATAGTACACCAGTATGTAGTACAGCTGTAATATCTCATATATCTATCTTATAAGAACTATAGACGTAATATACTATTTACCTGCTATAGCAAATACTATAAAGGGAATTGGCTAAGTATTTATATATAACTTGATATATAGGCTATTTAATCTATATAAATCTATCATCCTATATACATCACATGCTTGTCAATTCCATTTATTTATTATATATTTAATTTATATAATCCATTATATATGTATATATACTAAGCATATCTATATCTATATACATAACTTCCATATCATCAGCTCTTCATATATGTATGTTTTCTATGTATAAGTCTTAGTCTTCAATCTCTTAAGCCCTATACCAACTCTAAGTAAACCACGTTCAAATTAACAATGCTAAAATGTTTGGAGTAATATTCTTTCTTTATATACATACCACATATATTCTGTGTTCTACGTTCTACTATTGACTTCTTTATGCATTCTTCATTAGACGTCTTATTTTGTAAGCTCTATATTTACCTGTCTATTATATCAAATACTTTATATACCTTTGCCTTTATCTAATTTCCATATGCTATATACTTTCTTGAATATTTGTTTCTCAATATCATGAATTTGTCAAAGATGCCCCTGCATATCTATAATACTACATCATTTGACTTCCTTATGATGTGTAGTGAAGCCTTCATTGTATCTATTATACCTATGTATGTATATATTATATACCAATTAAATACCGACTATATATGGATATCTATCATCTATCTATCGTTCTATGCGCCTATCACTATCACTATTGCAACTCTTACTCATATATCCCCTACATAATATGTATATATATCATATCATATACCTCCTCTGTCATATATTCCATATGACATCATTCGACCTATATCAACTCTATAGTATACCCATTTATCTTCACTTCTCTTTGAGGCGCTGGCAAGGATCTGAGTTAGAGTATTCCCGCTTCGATATATAGCTTTACCATTCACACTCACACTCTCTCTCCCTCTCACTCTCATTGTCACTCTCTCGCTCTCCCTTTGTCGCCTTATTGACATTGTGATGCCCACACCGACAAGTGACAACGGATGCGCCGTTGATTGCCTGGTGACCCAATTTGGGTCGGAGCGCATTGTTCATTTCGCTTTGGCTCACCTGCATCCTGTGGCCCGCTGCGCGGATAGAGCTGGCATCGCTGATGGACGCTGGCAAAGTAGATGGCCAGAGCACCGATGGCCGCGCCCAGCACGGTGAAGGCGATGGCCAGGATCAGTAGACGGCGCCGATGCTGCGCCTCCTTCAGCAGCAGCCAATCGCTGGCAACGGATGGAGCTGAAACAGCTGGAGCTGAGCCGGAGCCGGAACCAGGACCTGCTCCCGCAGCTGTAGCCGGCGCATTGCGCTGCAAGGCGCTGCCCACGGCGCCACTGCCATCGGGACTAAGGAAAACCACCGTCGGTAGCTTAAGTTGCTGCTGTGGTGGCGGCAACTGTTGCTGCTGCTGCTGCTGCTGTTGCTGGTGGTGTTGCTGGTGTTGCTGCTGTGCTGGCAGCAGTTGCGGCAACTGTTGTGGCAACTGTTGCAGCTGTTGGCCGAGCAGCGGCGAGACCGCCGTCGAGCTGAGATCCTCGAGCGCGTTCGCCTGCAGGTAGCCATTGTTGAGATTGGGCCGCTCGTTGCTTGGCTTCGTGGGCGCTTTGCCAGCGGTGGGCGTGGCCAACATATCGCACAGCCCTACCCTGCACTGCCCCGCCCGACTGGCCTCCATCTCAGTGTCCGCCTTCCTATCTGATTTACGCTCACAAGCGACGCGTCGCACCTGTCCGCGGCGCGGCCTTTAATCCTGTCAAGACTCACAGCAGCAACTGCGATGTCGTCACTGAAAAGAAACCGAAACAAAAGAGAAATAGCAATAGAAGTCGAAATGAAAATAGAAAGCAAAGCAAACAGAAATTAGGAGCTCCAACAAAACGATTTCATCACATAACTCCACATACATAACGGATTTTCTCTATCTATATAATATACTACTATAAATTTGGGGCTGGGTTTACGCAGTCTTCAGCTTATCTATATAATTTACTTCATCTTATCAACCTAATTCCCAAAAAAGCTGCAGCTCTACAGGGTATGCTTTAGTCATGCATAGTCTTAAGTACTACAGACTACACTTGCAGAACTGTATTAGATTAGTATTAGATATAGAGTATACAACATTTACAGTATAAGAAATTGTTGAAGGATTCCAGGGTAGAGTTTAGGGATTACAGTATATCTGTGTTTCAATGAACATCTCAATAGAAACGTACCTCCAGAAAAATGTTGGCATATTAGCCAAGTGGGAGTTGGGCTATGCCGGCATTAGTTTCGATATTATTACAGGGTATCTAGATGTTGTTCATAAACTTTGATCAACTAAAGCTAATAAGATATGAAATTCCCATGCGTGATCATTTTATTAGGAATTTTTAAAATTTTACAGGGTATATATGCCTTGTGCATACTCCACAAAGAGCACAAAATTCTTAGAAGCCCAATCGCTAGCAAAAAATGTTATTAATATTAACTGGCCAATGATTCTTAATACTCTACAGGGTATCTGTTATTCGTACATACCTCTCAGCGGCAGTAAACTATTTGACAGCCTGTATTTAACTATTTCACGAACATAATTAATTCGTTAAATTTTATACATCATATCAGTTCTCAAATAGTAATAATAAACAGGGGATTCTAGGTAGTACATAGGGTATCTATCAGTTGTGCATGCCCAAGCATTTGAGAAAAGCGCATTTTCTCAAAAAGTTAGCTTCAGTGAAAATATATCGATTGTGATTTTCGACGTGTTTGATGCCTGATAAATTTTAACTGATAAATGAGCATTCGCTACAAATTTACAGGGTATCTAAAAATAAATAATTAAATATACGCGACATGTAAGGATATTCAAAATTATTTACAATTTTTTCTCTAAGGAAAGGTCAAACTTTTGCATGAATATACACATGTGAGTGTAGAATGCGTTTTTTTTCAATGAATGCGTTTACTTTGAAGAAAGCTGTACTAATTAATTAATTAATACCCGGTAGCTGATGTTTCAAAGTATATTAGTTTTCCATTGTGTATAAGGTGGCAACTGATCTCTAAGTATACTATATATTGTATATATGCACATGTGTATAGCATGTATGTATGTGTTACAGTTCTTAAGTTACGCTGAATGAAGTTATCAATCAAAAGTTAACGACATAAAATGGAATTATATGAAAAGTAAATTACATTTTAGAGATTATTTTAATAAATGAAACGGTTAAAATTGCTTATAAATATGCGGGTGATTAGATAGATGGGCAGATAGAGCGAGAAATATGTCTATAGATAGATAAATATAAAGATATATAAATAAATACACAGAGAAAGCGATAGATAATAGATATATTGATGTAAACATTTAAAGACATTTATATATGTTTTCATAAATAATATACAATATAAATAATTAAATAAAAAATAGATACAAAAATGTAGTTTTATCAATATTTATTTTTATCTATCTATAATTAATATATACATATATCTAAATATGTAGATATATATATATAAAATAAATGGTTATATAGATGGATAGATAAAATATGCACGGGTTGATAAATAGATAATAGATACAGATAAATGCACTGATCGAAAAAAGACAAATTTAAAAATAGATAGATACAATAGATTATTCTATTTACCCGCCTTTCAATTTATTTACTATCAATCTCTTTTAACTTATCTGCTAATGCACCTTTCATCTGTCCCTTTAGATAACTTATAAAAGATATACATCGATGTAGATTAATTGAGTGCTAGTTATAGCTAAACTGAGCATAACAATTATGGATACAAAGTAGAGATAAACTTAGTGCTATTTAGATAGACAGACAGACGTTCAATAGATATATCGATAGATATTCAGGAAGATAGATGGGCATATTGACAGTTAGATGGAGCTATAAATGTGCTTGATTGATGGACAGCTTAGGCTTTAGACAGCTGATAGCTTTGGGATAGTCTCATACACAACATAAGATTGAAGCTTTTAATACGCCTAGGATTATTAATTTATGGAAATCTCATAATTATCATAATAAAGAGCTGTGTTTTAGCAACTATTTTGAAAGCTGTGACAACTTTGAAATGCTGATTGAATAGATTCTATTGTTTTCTTTCCTATTTTATTTTATTTTTTTTATTTGTTTTTCTTTTTCTTTTTGGTGTGGTCAACGCGGCGTATGTGTAATAGTATAATATAATAAAACAAAAACTTTGAAGAGCATTAATATGTTAATCAAACTTGATCTAGATGCTTAGAAACAGTAAGGCTAAACTGGATGGATTGGATCATTAGGCAAGATTATTAAAAAAAAAAAAAAAAAAAAACAGCCAAAGTCTTTTGAATATGCCAAATACTCCAGATATATACAAATATACATATGTGTATGTATGTATATATTTTTGCTAAACAGCTGTTCAATTTGCGATCAGGGCCAACACGTTTATATACTATATATAATGTTTACGAATGTTTAATTGATATTTGATTGGATGTGAGAATTTCGCTATTTTATTTATTTATTGTTTTTTTTTTTTTTTTTTTTTTTGCTTTTTTGGGGCAAACTAGCTCTGCGTGGACCGCAGCTGCGCCTTAGGCTTTTAGAAGCTGTGGCAGGCGTGTTAGTTTGATCTCGAGATGCTTCTCATCTTAGTACTTAGCACATAAAACAAAAACAAAAAATAATAATCATTCACACTCACACACTTCGTTGGCAACACAATAAAAAAAAAATTGTGTTACAGAAAAAAAGATTTAAAAATGTAATCAATTTGCATTTTGCATTGTCAAACAAGTTAATTTACATTTTATTACTTTTTTTTATTATTTATATATTTTTTTTTATTGCATTTGCTTTGCAATTGGTTTCGCTGGGTTGCCAATTGGACAACTCGAGCTAGTTGTGATTGGCCTGCTGTGCGGTTGGTTTTGAACAACAGTTACATTAAAAGTTGCGCGCTCTCTTCTCCGCTCGCTCAGTATTCGTATGGCTTGCGTGTGCTGCCAAACCGCGCGAGGCAACTTCTCGTTACGTACTGAACGTTGCGAGCTGTCCTTTGCTTTTAAGCAGGCGGCCGCCAGCGGCAGCGACGCCAGCGCACACGGTTCGACGCGCGCTAACGGCAAACCCACACACACATACAAGCATACAAAACGGCGAGCACAAAACAAAACGAAAACCATTTAACAGCCGGCCGCATTAAAAGCTCCTTTCTGCTTACACAAGGAAGTGCAGGCACGACACACGCACACGCACACGCACACGCTCATGTATGCACGCATATACAGCGCGCTCGCATTAACATGTCTTGAAACTACAGTAGAATCCCGTTAATTCCAAATTGCAAGGGGATCAGTTTTTTGATTTACCCAGAAATTTAAATTATTGAGAACGATATTCTTTCAAGGGGATAGATTTTTTTTGATTTATCGCGATTTTCGATTTAGCGGGAAACAAATTATCGAGACTCGACTGTATTTGGGCACGTTTCACACATACTTAGATATTGAGCCTTTGCCAGCCTGCCTGTCGCTATGATAAAGTTGCAGATAGAGAGCGAGGGGGGTAGATGACGGGGAGACAACAAAAACAAAATGGAATGCGCCATTTGTGACGTTCTATCAATCCATCATTTCGCGTTAGTATTATCGCTGCGTGATCAACGTATCATTCTCATTTTGTTTCTTCATGCTTTTTTTCAACATTTTTCGTGTTGTCCATTGGCCAAGCGAAAAGGGCAATAACAAAATTAATTTACCGCCTGCTGGCGATAAGCGATATATGAAAAAAGTATAGAAATAAATAAACACATGTATTTCGGCACAAATTAATCATACTCAAGAACTCGTATTAGTAAGTACTTGAAATGTTACGGACCTTTGATTTGACGGTTCCTAAACAATTTTCTGATATGTTTTTTTGATATGCCCGAAAGTTAATTGAAAAATAAAGCTTTGGAAATTGTTTGCATAAATGAGCCTTAGACGATTATCTTTCATAATTGATTTTTGTTTGTTTTGTTTTAATATATTAACTCTTGTTGCTAGTGCTGCCAGACCGTTATAGTTTTGAGTTTTGTTTGGATCACAACGTTTGCTATTTGAAAATTCAAATTGTAAATTCATATCTGGCAACGCCTGGTGACACTTGATGGCATTGCTTAAGGCATTCAAATTAATGACGACAGCTCGTGTTACGCTGGTCACGACACGTGGTTGCACGCTCCGCCCCAAACCGGGCTTCTAAGCCAATGACTTAAGATATTTTTGCCGTTATCAAAAGACAGCGACGGCGGCGATAAGGGCGGTTTCGCCTAGTAACGTTAATGCCATGCATAAACAACTGTCATTTATCGATCAGTGATTCGCTCAGCAACGCAATTTAAGCTGCCCGCCGCATACGCATAACGGCATACGCACATTCGCCGCCAATAGCCAACAGGTGGCGTGCCACTACGCACTAAAGACTCGAGATATTGTTTTGCCTTTGCGTGCGAATAACAAACAAATTGTGTATGTGGATCTAGCTGTTCGATGATGGGCGCGGGTGGGTGGGGCACTATGAAACGGCTGAAACCGTTAGCTAACCATTACCTTTGATTAGTTTTTGGCGCTATAAACCAACAGCACGCGCGGCGGCGCATTTTCCGGCGCCATATGCTAGGCAAAAGAAGAAAAACAATTTTTTAAGAAAACCGAAATAAGTGGTGCACAATTGATTAAAAAATATCCTTTTCACAGCAACTTTATTTTTATTCAATTATCTTATTTCTCAAATTTATTTATCTATTTAATATAAAAATGGTTATCCGTCACTTTGCTTGGCCGAAACGCGACTAAAAACTGCAAAATTTCTGTCGCCGTCAAACCAAACCAAATGCCGAAAACCCGCCTAGGCCTGCCCCCCCAATTTATGGGAGGTCTGAAGCTTTTTGGCCCTAACCCCACATACAACAAAAAATAAATAAATAATGAAAAGCTTTCACACACTTGTTGAACACCGTGAACTTAACTAAGAAACTAAATTGGCCTTAGTAACAAATGCAACAAATTGAAAAAAAAAAAAAAATACTTAACTAATTATAACTGTAATTTCTTAATAAATAGAATGTTTTGGCTGTTCAGTTAGCTGCTCGATTGAGATCCGGCGTCAAACACATGTGTAGAACGACAGCTGCAAGAGACAAGAAAACGAAAGCCGAATAGAAGTAGAATAATGGAGTTACGAATTATGATGTGTGATGAATGCGAGAGATTAATGACAAATGACGATTGATGGGTTATTGGGTGATGAGTGCTGAAGGACCAGAGAAGACTGACGCCTAACGAGTGATCGATTGGCGAGTAACGATTCATGAGCATCGAGTAACAATTAAACTCGTTACTAATAGATTTCGCTTATGTCACTTTCATCTCCTTTCATTTATATATCTCTTTGATGCAACTTACCTCGCTGTCGCTCCACGTACAATGCAAAATACAATAAAACGTTCCATCTGAAAAATTGATAAGTAACGGTATACATATAGGATTTAGTAGACGGGTCGTATGGATCGAATATACACACATATATATTTTTCAATTCAATTTGTGCGATATACAAATTACTGATACTACATAGACAAAGATTCGTGGTATTTGAACAGGATATTGAATTCGATATATGGGCAAATGGGAGGAAGAAGAATGAATAATTAACTATAACAGAGAAAACTTACCATCATGATTAGGCTGTTATATTTGCTGGAAAAGTGCATATTGCGCAACACCTGCATGAAAAAGGTGTGGATCTCGGTGCCGATGTCCTTGAGCGGATGTGCGAGGCGGTTCGCGTGCGTATTGATGATCAGCGCGAAGCTGCGCAGCAGCGCAAACATATCCGGCTGGCAGCCATCGACTATCAAGCGCATCCAGTCGACGCGCTTGACCAGGTCGAAGGCGATTGCTATCTGAAATCGATAGCAGTTAGAATGGGATACAGGTTTGAAGGTATATAGACGTATATTACAATATCTCCGTTTTGTGTGGGCAGCTCGAGTCTCGAGATTTTGGCAAGGGTGGCCAGCAGGATGGTCATGGCGATACGGCGACTAACTTCGCTGTCGGCAATGAGCTGCACCAGCGCTCCATGCATATCGATAACACGTTGCATGCGCTCCTTGCCAGCGCCAATGATCAGACGATCGCATAGACAAATGGCAATATATTCAATGTACTCCGCCTGCAGTTGCACGGCCAAAGAGCTGACGGCGTGCAGCAGCTCGCAGCGCTTGCCCTGGCAATGGGTGTCCAGCTGTTCGTATTTCTGCATGTCAATGGCCAGGTGATATAGATCCAATAGCTCCTCCAGCTTGACCACATCCAAAGCGTCGATCAGCCTAACCAATTGCCTTAAATGCTGAAATGATGCAAGCATTAGCTAGGAATTTGATTTTGTAATCTCAGCACGCACCTGAGCACAGCTCGGGCTGGCAAAGATCATGGATGCAGGCAGAATCTTCTTGAGCGTCGAGTTCGACAGGAACTGCTGCAGCTGCTGCTGCGTGTAGCCCGCGGCCGCTGTCGGCTGCTGCGGCTCTGCGTCCGACTTGGACACTTGCATGCAAAAAGCCTTTAGCAGTTTGTATCGCTCCATTGGCAGCGGTTCTATAAGCAAGCTCTCGATATTGTTATTGTTATTGCTGTTGTTATTCTTAGTATTATTGTTATTGTTATTGTTATTGCTATGGCTATTGTTATTGTTATTGTTTTTAATTAGCAGCTGCTTTGTTTGACTGCGTTTCACATGTTTGGCGTTCGGCCTCTCGGCCACTTCCTTCCTCTTTTTAGTCAATTTAACTTTTGTCGATCGCGTCGATCGCGTCGATCCCATCGAAGTGCTTGGCTCTTCGCTCTTCTCGGGAGCTGCATTGATCCGCTCGTCCGATGCATTTTTATTATCCAGTTTCTGTTTGGTTTGTGCGCGAGTCGTGGACCGCAGTGTTCTTTTGGCGGCAATTGTTGGCTTCTTAGCAACAGGTACTGTTGGATTCAAAAGTTGAGTTCAGTTCAATTCCGCTTAAATTAACCTAATTATTTGTCTACTAACCCATTGTGTTGTGATTTCTTTGAATTTAATTCATTGGATTATATAGTATTGATAAACGCAATTCGAACAGCGCAATTGCTGTGACGCGGTATTTGCATTCGCTCGCATTGTATCGAGTAATCGAATATATTTCGCAGAGTGCTGCCAGACTGCTAACAGATGGTCAACTGACTAAGCGAATGTGCGCACTGCGCAAGTGTATGCCTTTGCGCCTTTGTGTGCGTGCGTATGCGTGTATGTGTGTGTGTCTCTGAGTGTGACTGTCTGTTAGCTGTATCAGCATGTCATAGTATATCAATTGCAGCCTCTCTTTTAATAACATATTCATTTGTATTTAGCCCGTTTGGCAAACACGTTCAGCATTTGTGCGTGTGCAGTCACTTTTTTTTGTTTTGTTTTTTACAAAATTTAACATAAATGTCTTACGTTTTGTAATTAGTTCATACATAAATTTTAACTCTCACATTGAACTGACAAATTTTGCTGTCCCATTCAACGCAACGGGAAGAAAATGCTTAATTTACATTTTTGGCTAATACCAGCGCTTCTTTTTGTACTGCCGCAACTGACAACAGCTGATGAGGCTGCCTGTAATTATTTGGAACGTCATGAAATCGAACGCCGCCTATCAACCAAGACGCCATACCGCGCCATTGCCAATTACAACGAAACGCCGCCGTTCTACGATGGTATGCTGTTATTGTTGGTTTTATTATACCACATATACAAGATATTGCTAAAGTGAAGAAAACGCGAGAACAACAGCTGTTTGCTCACTGTTGTTTACTCACTGCACATACTCATTCGCTTCGTTTTATTCTAAAGGTTGCCACCCGACACGAATTTGGGCAATTATTCGCCATGGCACGCGCAATCCCAGCAAGTCGGTTATATTACAAGCTAAAGAACGTTTGTCCGAAATACAAACGCAGATTCTCGCCCAATCTGAATCGAATTTGTGTGATGATGAACTCAAGCGACTGCGTCGCTGGAGCTGGTCGCACATCGAGCCGGACGATGAGAAACTGCTTGTTGCCGAGGGCGAAGATGAGTTAATCGAGCTCGCTGAACGTTTTCAACTGCGTTTTCCGAAGCTCTTGCCGGATCTATATGATCCGGAATGGTTTTATATGAAGTACACGGCCACGCAACGTACGCTAAAAAGTGCGCAAAGTTTTGCAACTGGATTGTTTGGACGTCATCGTATACATGCCATCAACTATCCACAGCCCCTGCATCGTGATCCAGTATTGCGGGTGAGTATTATTTACATAAATATAAATTTGTATATATATATATATATGTATATGTATATGTATATGTACATGAATGTATATATGATCTATGTGACATAATAGAGAATGACAGAGAGGGAGCGAGAGAGAAAGATTACTCAAATAGATCCTTGCTTGACAATCAAGCAAATGATGCACTGAATTGTTTTATTTTATGTTTTGTATGTGTAACAAGTGGTTCTGGTTACTGTAATTGGAATTCAAGTGAATCTTTCGAAAAGTGATTGATTCTTAAGGGATTTTATGGTTTTGAAATGAAGTTAAACAAATAAATATCGTGTAGCGGATCTACAATATAATCTCGGAGCAGCTAATTAAGAGTGCACAATATTTAAAATTGGCGCCAAAGAAACCGCGATGTGGCATCACCACTTGTGAAAGTTGAAATGGTGGAGGGTAACATTAAAATGAAGACACGCACACATCCTCAAACACGCGCGGGCGCACACACTCACACACAGATGTATATATACACATATATGCATATATATATATATATATATGCACATATATGTACATAGAGACGAACACATGTACATACAAAGCGAGAAAATCTAGTTAGTTTTACGTTCTGCGCGTGCATATTATTTTTTTATACGGTTTAACACTTGAAAAGCATTGTTTACCTTTGCTATTTTTTGGCTACACAATTGTCTGCAATTGGTGCGGACGAGCAAAGACATTGGCCAAGCGGATTGACAGAATGCGCTGACCCTGCGGAAAACAAAAAATTTGTGTGTGGGGTTATGTGCACAGGTTGTAGAGTCGCAGTCGACGTAGTTGTTGTCATTGGTGTTGTCATTAGTCATGTTGAGTGCAAATATGAATATATAGCCATATGACTTGACAGGGTAATAGTAATACTAGCAACAACAACAACAACAACGAACCAGGAGCACAAGGACTGGAAGGAAAAAAAAGGAATTACCAAGTGCAACAAGCACAGCAAAAAATAAAAAATAGGTACATATATATATAATATATATGTTTATATAAAAGTATACATATATTATACACACATATACTATCTATATAGTGAAAGATGCCGCTGCAGGTGCCAATGTCTGGCAGAGAGCGCAGCAGCAGCAGTGGCACCACAACAACTACAACAACAATTAGCCGCAACAGCAACAGCAACATGAACAGCGATCCCAAATGCCGAGACGGGCTGCGCAATGTAAAAGAGTATATCAGGGGCCAGCGGCTGCAAGAGCTGCTGCAGCAGCAGCAGCAGCAGAGGCAACTACACCAACAGCAACAACAGCAACAGCAACAACAGCAACAGCAACAGCAACAGCAACAGCAGCAACAACAGCAACAGCAACAACAACAACAGCAGCAATATGAAGAGGATCGCTACAGTGCAGAGATAAAGACGCGACGGCCATACACGGATAAGGAATGCCCATTGAGCTTTTCGGCCATGCGTCACGTGGAATTGATTGAGCCGTGGAAATTTGATCCACAGCCATGGCGTATTAGGGAGCGCATGAAGACGGCCAGTGTGGCCTTGGTGCTCTGCCTCAACATTGGCGTCGATCCGCCGGATGTGGTCAAAATTCAGCCCTGCTCACGGCTCGAGTGCTGGATCGATCCCAGCTCGGTGTCGGCACCGAAGGCCATGGAGCTCATCGGCAGCAATTTGCAGATGCAATACGAGCGCTGGCAGCCGCGCGCTCGCTACAAAAAGTGCCATGACCCCACCGTGGAGGATGTCAAGAAGTTGTGCACCTCGCTGCGGCGCAACGCCAAGGGCGAACGCATCCTGTTCCACTACAATGGCCATGGCGTGCCCAAGCCGACCGCCAATGGCGAGATCTGGGTCTTCAACAAGACATTCACACAGTATATACCGCTGAGCATCTTCGAGCTGATCAACTGGATGGCCGCTCCGTCGATATATGTGTATGACTGCTCCAATGCCGGCATCATCATCAACTCGTTTCAGCCGTTCGCCGAGCAGCACGAGCACGAGCTGGAGAAGGCCCTGGCCGCCGGCACGCAGTCGGCCTCCCAGCTGGTCAGCTACAAGAACTGCATCCATTTGGCCGCCTGTGCAGCCAATGAGATTCTGCCGATGAATGCCCAGCTGCCGGCGGATCTGTTCACCAGTTGCCTGACCACGCCCATTAACATCGCCCTCAAGTGGTATGCGATGCAGGAGAAGCTGGGCATGGTGCCGCGCATCCAGAGCGACCTGATCGACAAGATTCCGGGCAAGGTCAACGATCGTCGCACCATGATGGGCGAACTGAACTGGATATTCACGGCGATCACGGACACCATTGCGTGGAACACGCTGCCGCGTGAGCTGTTCCAGCGCCTCTTCAGACAGGACCTGCTCGTGGCGAGCCTGTTCCGGAATTTCCTGCTGGCCGAGCGCATCCTGCGCAGTCACGACTGCACGCCGGTCTCGCTGCCGGCCCTGCCGCCGTGCCATCGGCACGCCATGTGGAAGGCCTGGGACTTGGTCGTCGACTTGGCCCTGCAACAGCTGCCGGACATACTCGAGCAGCAGGCGCCCTATCGCCAGCTGCCCTTCTTCGAGCACCAGCTGACGGCGTTCCAGGTGTGGCTGGACAGCGAATCGGAGTCACGCACGCCGCCCGAGCAGCTGCCGATAGTGCTGCAGGTGCTGCTGTCGCAGGTGCATCGGCTGCGCGCCCTGGAGCTGCTGGCGCGCTTCCTCGACCTGGGCCCGTGGGCCGTGAACCTGGCCCTGGGCGTCGGCATCTTTCCGTATGTCCTCAAATTGCTGCAGAGCTCCACGCGCGAGCTGCGGCCGGTGCTGGTCTTCATCTGGGCGAAGATACTCGCCGTCGATCCCAGCTGCCAGGTGGACCTGGTCAAGGAGTACAAGTACTTCCTCGCCGTGCTCCAGGACAACACCGTGAGCAAGCAGCACCGCACGCTGTCCGCCTTTGTGCTGGCCTCGATCGTCCACAACTTCCTGCTGGGCCAGACGAGCGCGCTGCAGGGACCCCTGCTCTCCATCTGCCTGGAACAGCTGAACGACAGCAGCTGGCTACTGCGCCAGTGGCTGGCCATCTGCCTGGGCATGCTCTGGCAGAACTTCGAGAAGGCGCGCTGGTCGGGCGCCCGCGATCTGGCGCACGAGAAGCTCTACGTGCTGCTGCGCGATCCGATACCGGAGGTGCGAGCCGCCGCCGTCTTCGCCCTGGGCACCTTCATCAGCTCCGTGACGGATCGCAGCGAGGGTCAGGCGAACAACATCGATCGCATCATAGCCATCACCTTGCTGGAGACGGTGGGCGAGGACATGTCGCCGCTGGTGCGGCAGGAGCTGGCGGCGGCCCTCCAGTGGATGGTGCTGCTCTTCGAGTCGCAGTTCGTCACGGTCTACACGGCGGAGCACATGAACAGCCACAGCTCGGCCCAGGTCTCGTGCGGCGGCGAGCGCAGCGCCAGCATCACGCACGGCATGCCCAATGCGCCCTCGGGCCACTATACTCAGTACACGCACAGTCTGGAGCGGCACTCGCATGTCACCATCCGACGCGGCGCCAGCTCCAGCTCCATCTCGAACATGGCCAGCTCCAGCTCGATGTCTGGCAATTCGGCTGGCAGCGCCGGCGGCACCGGCTGCGTCGCTGGCAACTGCGCCAGCAGCACTGGCACCTCGGCGACCACGAATGCGATTCCCTTTCAGTACATCTTCACCAAGCTGTGGCAGGGCATCTACAACCTGAGCCAGGATCCCTTTCCCAAGGTCGCCGCCACGGCCCAGAGGATCGTGGCGCATGTGCGCGACGTAGCGCTCTGCTTGATCACGGCCAAGGAGGCGACGAATGCCACAGCTGCTGCCGGCATTGGCAGCTCGGCGGCTGGACGAGATCAGCAGAAGCTGAACAGCAGCCTCCTGAGCGTCAGCCTGCCGCCGAGTCCGAATACGCGCTGCAATTACCTGGGCGCGGGTGGCGAGTCCCCGCCGGTGGGCGGAGGTGCCTCAACAGTGGCCGTGGCCGCGGCAGCAGCGGCGGCGGCAGCAGCAGCAGCGGGAGGAGGCACTTCGTCCGGCAACAATCGCTGGTCACAGAAGCAGCGCCTCTCCGGCAGCAACGAGGCGCAGCAGCGCAAGCTGCGCACCACCTCGATGAACGACGAAACGGACAGCGGCAACGTGACGAGCTCGTCAGGCGCGCCCGGCACCAGCTCCGCCGTGCTCGGCCTGATCGCGAACGCGAACGCGGCCGATGGCAACAACTCGGCGAGGAGCAGCGGCAGCGAGACGAATCATTATGCGGAAGCGAACAGCACCAAGGTGCAGCTGCTGCAGCCGATTGTGACCACTTCGTTCATACCCTGGGCCATTTCGTACTTTACGCGTCCGGGCAAGAAGCGCTACAGCAGCGCGGAGGGCAGCACCGAGGAGGAGGAGGGTCAGCAGCGCTGGCCGGTCGATCGCAACTCCGCGGAGCTGCGGACGCGCGAATATCGCTACCAGCGCAACGAACAGATCCGGCGGACAGCAAGGCGCGAGCAGCAGGATCAGTGCGTCCGTCGGCTGGACGCGTTCAGCTTCGTGCGCAAGACGCAGTGCACGCCGTCGATAGTGAAGCTGCTGCCGTACGAGCAGCAGATCGCCGTCGCCTACAAGGAGAAGGTGCTCGTCTATGACTTTGTGCGCAATCTGGTCCACAGCTACGTGACGGAAGCTTTGTCGGACTCTGGTCACGGCAGCTCTGTGGGCAGCAGCAGCACCAGCAGCAACGGCAGCAGCAGCGGCGGCGGCGGCGGTGGCGGCGGCGGCGGCAGCAGCAGCAGCAGCGGCGGAGGCGGCGGCGGTGGCGGCGGCGGTAGCAGCAGCAGCGGCGGCAGCACCAGCAGCGGAAGCAATGGACGCAAGATTAGCCGCCAGCCCGCGATCTTATTCGCGCGAGTGAGCAGCTTTGAGCTGTTGAACGCCCAGGATGTCGGCCTGATGCTGGTCGCCCACGACGATGGCGTCATACGCGTCTGGCAGTCGACCGGCGGGCCGCAGGAGAACTCGAGCGGCAGCTCGGGCCAGCCGCAAGCCGAAACACGATTGATTAGCGCCTGGGATGCATTCCCGCGCACCGCCTATCACAATGGCAGCGGCGGCAGCGCCGGTGGTGCTGGTGGTGCCGGCAATGGCAGCTGCGGCAGCGCCGGCGTTGGGGGCGGAAGCAATGCCAACAGTTCCTATTTGCAGCGACGACTCAAGACGGATCCGCTGGCAGCGGTCAACAGCAGCGTCGTGGGCAACATCAATAGCACCGCGTTAACATTGTTTGCCGCCGCGTACCAAGCGGCCGCGATGGGCCACGGCCAGCATCGGAGCTCCACGGACGTTGTCACGGCTTGGCAGCAGCACAGCCAGCACTTGGTCGTGGGCAGTGAGGCCTATCGCTATCTGCGCATCTGGGACGTGGAGCGGGAGCTGCGGCTCAGCGATCTCCAGCTGGGCTCTCGCGAGACCAGCGTGCGTGTCCTCTCGCCATTTGTGGCCAACAAGCCGTGGGATCTGATTGTGGCCGGCTGTGCGGACGGCAGCGTGCGGCTGTTCGACAAACGCTGTCCGCCGCAGGAAGCACGAATCCGGGTCTATCGCGAGCACACGGCGCCCATACTGCATGCCTGCCTGCGATCCAATGACACCTCGTTCGTGACGGGCTGCACGGCGGGCAGGGTGAACGTGGTGGATCTGCGGGCGAATGTCGCGTCCGGCGTCTTGCATCAGTGGGAGGCGGGCGGCGATATTACGGCGATGGCCAGTCATCAGGTGGCGGATGCCATCGCCTGCGGCAACGCCTCCAAGATCTGCATCTACTCGCTCAACGGACGCACCCAGAGCGTTTTGCGCAGCAACGAGGGCTTCATGGGCTCCAAGATTGGACACCCCACATGCCTGTCATTTCATCCGTATAAGGTGCAGCTGGCGGTGGGCTTTGTGGACAACACGGTAGCTGTCTACAGCCCTACACCAGGTAAATTATGGAGTGTGTGGCGTGTAGAGAGTAGCGAGCGACGAGTCAACTGCAACGAGTAAGAGCAAGGCGAGTGACGAGTGTAGTCCAATGAGCAGCTACAAGGAGTGAGATGAACGAGAAGACTAACGAGTGCTCCAAATGTGTGGATATTAGGAAAACCTACCTATAGATCCAGCTGCACTGATAACTATAACGAGTAACGATAGCGAGTAACGACAACGAGTAGAGATAGCGAGTAGCCTAAGCGAGTAACGACAACGAGTAGAGATAGCGAGTAGCCTAAGCGAGTAACGACAACGAGTAGAGATAGCGAGTAGCCTAAGCGAAGCCGTACTTGAACCGACCGGCAGCTTCAACGAGTAGCTCAAACGACATGCTCCATTCTCTTTCTCTTTTTCCCTCTCTCTCTCCCTCTCCCTCTCTCTCTCTCTCTCTCTCTTTCTCGCATACTCCCTCATTCTCATTTGGGTCACAATATTTATACTCGCCCGTTTTGATTTCGTTACAGTTTTATAAACTCTGCAGCCGCTGGAAAACGGACGTCGATAAGAATCCTGAAACAATGTTTTATGCACGTAGCTTCAACGCGGAGCCCGCAATGCAGTCAGCAGTGGCGCATGTGCGTGCCGTTACCAAAATAATGGACTTAACCCCCCAGGATGTCCAGCTAATGTATACCGTGTGCGCCTTCGAGACGGCCTGGCAGCGCCGTCTACCCCCATCCGTCTGGTGTCGCTTCTTCGATGTGGCCTCCTTGAGCGCCTTGGAATTCGCCGAGGATCTCGAGTACTATTGGAACGATGGCTATGGCTATGAATTGACGCATCGCATTGCCTGTCCGGCAATCGCAGACATGTTTGCGGCCATCGAGTGAGTAGCCAAGAGACAATAGATAAGATGATATTATAAGAGATCTGAAATCTCAGCGAGTCTTTAGCAAATCGTCAAGAGACGTTTGGAATACTGATTTATACTCAATGATTTCTTGTAGCTGGAACTAAGTGGAAGCACATATAATTTTACGTAATACTTTCCCTACAGTCGAATAGAGAATCGGAAATGAAATTTCAGACTGACAGAAGTTGAATGTAAACTCCGATGCACAGCCTACTTCAGGCTAACTTGACTGAAGGAGAGAGATCTCAAGTCAAGTAGGTGCGAAGAATGGGTGAATCACTTTCACCTGTTTGCGTGAATCTTTTCCGATCAATCTTGAAGAAACAGAATCAATGAAAATTGAAGAGCTCCTAAGAAGAGATCTTTGCACTTTGCAAATTCACCTTCAAGCGTGAAAGATGAGTGGAAAGGGAATATGTTAGATCTAGTATAGTTTCTAGTAGAGCTTTCCCCTGAGTTCTGTATTTTAATAGCTATGCAATTTTCTTGCCTTGCAGCACACTGAAGCCACGCGCCAATGCCACCTTCTACTTTACCCATTCGGGAACGCTGCTTAAGATGCTGGCCCACCTGGGCGTGGCCAAGGACGAACGTCCGCTGACGCACAAGGATTTCGAGACGAAGCGTCTGTGGCGCACCAGTGAAATCGATGCGTTCGCAACCAATTTGGCTTTTGTGCGCTATGAGTGAGTGAGAGGGACGATTTGTCCACATATTTGTATATATGGAGTATATTGCTTAAACTTCACCTTTCCTCTTCGGCAGTTGCATCGAAAGGGAGCCGCAAATTTTGGCAATGCATCAGGAGCGGGTGATTCGTCTGCCCGGCTGTCCGCAGGATGACGATCTGTGTCCGCTTTCGCGGCTGCGGGCCAACTACGTGGATAGCGTCGAGCACTGTGACTTTGAGGCGCTCTGCCAAGCGGCCAATTGAGCGGACCGCGTGAGACAACGAGAGCGAGAGAGACAGAGTGAGAGAAAGAGATGAAGGGAGCTGGCCGGCATGGAATGGGAACCGGGAATCGGGTTTTTGGATGAACTGCTGCTGCTATTGCCTGCCTGCAAAACTATGTGAAATTTAACATGAAACAAGGGATTCGTCGGAATATGTAAACGGAATATTGAAATGATGTCGAGGAACGAACAGAGAGCTAGATAGTGAGAAAGAAAGTGCGGGAGCGAGAGCCAAGTGGAAAATTGATTGAAAATGAGTTATGGTAGACGATTATTTAGACGATAAGAAATGCTAAATATCCAAGTGTGTTATGTCGAAATATGTGTATGTATTTTGTGTATGCCTTATAATCAATGTGGACCATCCAATCCAACAGCAAAAACAAGAAAAGCAAATGAGAGGGAGCGCGCGAAAGCGAGAGAGAAAGCACAAGCGCGCGAGCAAGGGAAAAGGAAAACGTAATGTGAACGAACAAAGGAAAAGTTGTGTGAAAATCTAATGATTGTTTCTAGCCATGCCGCCAAAACTGAGAAAGTTGTCTATCTAGCATAGAAATATACTTACTTACTATATAGACCATATATACTAAATTAACTGTACAATATGTACGGCTGCAAAATCTATGCGATTTGATTTGCTATTTTTCCCCCATTTTTGTAACTTTTGTATATAAACTAAATTCATATATATATATATATATATATTAGCTCTTTATATATATATATTATATCGAGTTTGTAACTATATAGAAAGCTATGCTATAATGTACTCGTATATATCTCTTCTATATGCCTGTAATCATTGTAAACGCCTCTAAAACCTACAGCAAAAAATGAAAACAAAAAAAAAAAACCCTCGATAAAATATCGTACGCTTTATGCATGTGTTTAGCCCTAAGTTTACATATATATATATATACTTAAGTATATATATATATTTATAATGTAAGTGATATTTGTTTTGTTAACAATTCATTTTCTCTACTTTCAAACTATCAAATGTATATTAGAATTGCTTAAATGAAAAGAAGAAAACTTTGTTAAAAACCTAACGAGAAGCGAAATTCAAAGTGAAATTGAAAATAATATAGAGAGTTCAACAACGAACAACCAACAATTTGTTATTTCATATTTCCAAAAAAAAAAAAAAAAAAAAAAAAAAAAAAAAAATTTAATAATTACACAATTTGTTAATTAATTTAAGTTTAAATTTTTGCTTTGATATATAAATATTTAATTTTATAAAAAACAAATACAAAAAATATATATTTTGAAATTAAAATCTACAAATTTGTGCTAAAGCTAATGTATATACATATATATTCATATAAAGTTGTCCGATTTTGTGCCTGAAATGTAAGTTTTCTTTTTTATACCACTTCATAGCTTTCATATGGACGACAACAGACTATATATATAGAATACTATATAGTGCTTCGATATTACACATAAATTGTGAAATGGATAAATCAAGACAAAAGAGAGAAATCGTATTATTTCTGAAGCTGATGCAACCCAGCCAGCGTATTTAACACAGGGTATTTTTTAGAGTTCTTGAGAAATATAAAACTAAAAAAAAAAAAAAAAAAATGTTACAAAAAGAAGAAGCAGGAGAGTATAGAGATAATGCTCAGTAAATATTTGAACAATTTGAACGACAAACAGGCATTTGAACCTTGTTTACTTGAATATATATCAGTTATATATACATATATATACTATAATGGACTACAATTACAATGGTATATATCCATATATGGCAATGCTTTGATATTATCTGAATTGTACAAGTTTTGGGTTACTCAGAAAACTACAAAATAAATTTGAAAAAAAAAAAAAAAAAAATATTGTAAATGTAAATTGAATGATATATGGAAGATCATATATATCTATATTTTTATGCAAGTTAGACACAAAATCTAGAGACTTGAAGACTTTTGATCCCCCTCCCAATTGAAATGAAGCGTTTTGACAAGGGCGTCCATCTATACCATAAATCCTTTGAGTCTGAGTACTTGTCTGGGATTACAAAAGATTTTCGGGAATACCCAAGAGTATTTTTAAGAACAGCAATACTTAGCAATACTCTTTGAACAGATCTCGCGCACACATATGCCATATATATTAATATGAGCATATATAGAGACACTTACTAGATCTTTAGTCGAGCCGGTGCTATGGGGCCCCAACACTTTGCCTTGTAAAGCAAACTTCCCGTGTTTGTATAGCGTGCGATTTGCTAATTGTTAATTTTGCTCGATTCGAACATTTTTTAGCGTTAAGTGTCTTAGTTGTTGTTTCATCCTACTCTACGCGCCCTGGGCATATTGGCTGCTGTGACTAGGCGGTTAGAGAAGGCGAGCCTAAATGTAAGTTACGCCTCAACCAATTAGCATACATATAATTGTCATGAATGTAGCTATTAATGTGGGAATACATATATTATATAGATGTAGAAATATATACATATGCACCACGTAATGTGTATATCCACATACATATATTTACTGCATGTGCTAAGTTTTGAATTTTGATTTCGCATGTTCGTCTTGAACTTTATTCAACCAAATTAACCCATTTAGAAATTGACACTTCTCCTCGGGTGGACTTTCACTATGAATGAAATGTGCTATTATAACTTGGGAATTTGTAGTGAATGGATTTTGATTTTGGTTTTAAATAGAGATGATATGGGAAGAGCGACTAGATAGAGATAGTAATTAAATCATATACATATATCTCAAGTAGATATAAATATAGATAATAGAGTGAGTTCTTCAGAACAGATTTATAGATATTGACAAGATAAATTGATTAGATATACTCTATATATAGACTACATAACATACTCTATATAAGGGAGTTATATATATTAGACTCTATGAACTACATATGTAGAGTCGGGTATCCATAGAGTTATCTATACAGATATGAAGATATATAGAATCAGACATGTACTCCATAGTCTCTCAGACAAGATCTAAACTGTAGATCCTATGTGAATTTGAAGAGATAAAACGAGTTTTCATTCATATCTATTATAGGGAGCATTCATAACTGTCGAATATCGAAAAGGACTCTCCTATATATGGTAATTATTATGTGGAGCTGCAAAGAGAAATATTTACTCAGTTTCATGATTCTCATTCTGAATTCAATCTATATTCATACATCAATGGAAAATCGATCGGAAAAGTTTCACGCCTGTAGGAGCTCCGGAGCTGTCCTACAACGTCAATTGATTTATACTCGATTTTGTGGGAATCTACCTTTGAATGGATAAACCAAATTATCATTATTTGTAATTTGTTTTAAGTAAAATTTTTGAGGGCTTGGAAATTGTTAAATTTTCTATATGTAACTCTTTAAGTTTTCAAGTTTTCGTAGACTGGAATCGTTGGACTTAAGCTGAGTAGATTTTTAAAGCCTTTACTCCATTAGAATAAGAGCTTTTAAAATAGCTTAAAGAACATATGATGAAAAGGGAATGTACAAAGAATTATTTTAAGGAAAATTGCTAAGTTATTTATCGAATATCGCGAAAATTTGTTATATTCGATAAAATATCAGAGAATTCCAGATAAAAATTCATATAAACTGTTTGAGCAAAGATCATGCTTAAGGCTTTTGGCAAAAAACTTCAAGGAGTTCAATTTATATATATTTATAGTGTCAAATTTTAAAGATTTCGTGTGTAATATTGTCTGAGTCACATTTCAGTTAAGGTTAGTTCCATGCAAAAAGCTTTAGTCGAACTAAACAACCCTTAAGTTAGCTTAAGTTGGCCTAGCCTAAGCAAAAGCTTACTTTTATTTTGATTTTGATAGTTTTACAGTTAAATCAAAGAAGCACTTTTCAATTCCGAAATAAACAACCCCTATGCGAAAGCTTTTGGCAGCAATAAAGCTCGATAGCAGGCGCGCGACTTAAGCTCTAGTCGTCTAAGCTGCGCTTTCGTTTAGGGTATCTCTTTGTCAGCACGCGCGCTGGCTAGCTGGCCAGCTAACTATCTGGCTAGCTGACTACCTGGCAAGCCGGATGACAGCTTGGCTAATAGCTTGGCTAACTGGTTAGTTGGTTCAGAGAACGAACGGTCCGAGGACTTTGAATGTATTTATTTACTTGTTTGCCTTAACAAATCTAAAACTACAAAAATGAAAAAATGAAAAAATTGAAATATGAATAATTTAATGCAAAAAAAAAAAAAAAAAAAAAAAAGAAAAACAGCCAAGACACTCGAAATGCCATACCGCAAATGCAGCTAATTTATTATTTAATACAGCTTTTTAGTTGCTGCTGCTGCTGCTGCTAACGTGGGCAGCGGAAGCTGCAGCTTGAAAAAAGCTCGCAGGCCACAGCGCAGTCGCAGTTGCAGTCGCTGCTGCTGCTGCTTGCGCTGCTGCTGGCGCTGCCCTCTGCCCACGGCCACTGTCGCCGGCAACAGGTTCAACCCCTAAAAAAGCTTTTCGCCAAGCAGGCACAGCTAGCTGACAAAGCTGTTGTCGAGGATGCCAGCAGCGGTGCTGACGCCGCTGCCGACGTCGCTGGCTGCGCTATTCAGCGCACCGAACGGCGCGGCGACAGGCGAACCGCGTTTGGCCAAAAACAAAATACGAAAAAAAAAAACGCAGAGCGAAAAGGCAGCAAAAAATAAAAACAAAAATGAAAAAACGGTTTTAGTGCGCTGTTGTCGTTGCGGTTGGCGCGTTGCGTTAAACAACTTCCAAAAATTTTTCGGTTTTTTTCTTCGTTTCATTTGATTTGGATTTTAGTTGTGTTTTCGTTTAAGTGCTGGACAATTGGCTGAAGGAGCAGCCTGTCTCGGTGTGGGTGGCTGTCCCTATGTGTGTGCCAGTGCGCGCTTCTGTGTGTGTGTCTGTGTGTGTGTGGGTGTGTGTGAAGCGGCAAATGAACGTCAGCAAAATATGACCTAATTCTTGTGCAGCCTTTTATTTTAGTCAGGACAACAACCCAAAACTAACCAATAAAAACTTAAAGAAAAGTGACAAAAAGGAAGAGGAAGAGGCAACAGCAACAGCAACAGCAAAATCAACAGTAGCAAAGCAGCGTCCAGCCGTTGCGCGCAAAAAGAGACGTCAAGCAAAATTAACTGTATTAGAAGTTATTTATAGACTAACGGCGCGCGTTTGACTGGCTTCTGTATTTAATTAGCCTTCCGCGATTGCGACAGAGGCACAGCGCCACCCCCACCACCAAGCGCCTGCCCGCCCGCTTCGGCCAGCCGTTGCACAACCGTTGCGTGCCATGGAACAGCTGTGCTACATCGCGCTCAGCTGCCTGCTGGCCATCGTCTTGCTCTACGGCCTGCTGGAGCTGCACTACTTCCTGCGCATGTGCCTCTGTGTGCTGCTGGCGCGGTTTATCAAGCGCCGCTGCCACATCCTGGAGACGACCACCGTGAATGGTAAGTGCACACACAGAGTGAGCGGGCGGGAGGGCGAGGCAGCGAGCCAGCCAGACAGACAATTGGCTTCATCATGTTGCTTCACCCGTTTCAGGCCTCTGCTTGAGCAACGATGTGGACACGCTGCTTTACCACATGAATAACGCGCGGTATTTTCGGGAATTGGATTTCGCACGCGTCGATTTCTATGAGCGCACGCAGCTCTATAGCACGATCCGGCGCTTGGGCGGATCGGTGTTTCAGGGCGCGGCGACCATACGCTACCGTCGCTTCATACGACCCTTTCAGCGCTTCACCATCGAGTCCAGGGTATGCACAGGGAGAGCGAGCGAGAGAGGGAGAGACTAATTGCACTCTTCTGCTTGCAGATCATCTACTGGGACGAGCAGTCGCTGTTCATGGAGCATCGCTTCTTGCGTCCCTCCGATCAGTTTGTCCACTGCATCGCCATCTGCCGGCAGCGGGTGATCAATGTGCCCATGGACACGGTGATGGCCGAGCTGCTGGCCAAGACGCCGCTGCAGGCGTCGCGGCACACGCTCAGCTCCACCGCCAGCCTGCAGCCGGTGGGCATGGGCAGTGCCACGCCCATGCCGCAAGTGGCCCTGGAGGCGGGCCAGGCGGAGAACGGGCATGTGGCAGCAGCGCCGGCCGCTGCGACTGCGACTACGGCGTACAGCATCAAGATGAAGCCGCCCCTGCCGCCGGAGCTGTGCAAGTGGATCGAGTACAATGAGATGTCCAGCAAGAATTTACGCAGCGGCTGCTGACCATAGAGAGGGGCAGAGCCAAAAGAAGGAGAGCACCAGGGGCAGCAGGAGCAGCAGGAGGCACCATCCACTTAATTGAAATGGATATAGATGAACTAGAACTACTCTACGTTCCGCCTAAAAAAATTGTCATATTTTTTTTTTGTGTAATTTTTTTTTTTTATAGTTTTTCTATGTGCGTGTGCGTGTGCGTCTGCGTGTGTGTGAGCTGTGTGTGAAATTGTGAACTGTATGTTGTGAATGTTGACTTTTAGCTCTAAGTCGAACTCTGTGTCTGTGTCTGTGGCGATGCTCGTGCTCGTGCTCGTGCTCGTGCTCGTGCTCGAACTCCAGCTGGTGGCTCCAACTGCTTGGCCTAGCCACAGCAGCAGCAGCAGCAGCAGCAGCAGCATCGAGTCGTCGAGCACCCACAGCTAATAACCCACAATTAACTGTTAATATAGGGGGGTTAATATAAATGCTACATAGATACAAGCTAATCCACTTGTGTTTCTTCGCCCGTACAGCGAGCAGGGGGGGAGGGGAGGGGAGGCAGTGTTGGAAAATTAACGAAAGCTGCACGAAATTGCAGAGTTGGTGAAAGGAGCCCATTGAGCTGGAAACCAAATTCATTTGCAACTCTTGCCACTCTACAAGAAATCTATAGAAAAAAAACAGTGTTGGTAAGCGCTGGAATGCAGATTAAACTAGTCAGACCTATTATAATTAGTTAGTTTAATACATGGCTTAGGCTATACTCGAGCAGAATATTCTATATACAATGCAGCGAAAAAAACAGTGTTGGTAAGTAGTGTAAGGAACAAGGTAGTGAAAGGTGAGATGCATGAATATGCATTACTCTTCAGGACAAACACATTATTAGTTTATTATCAATATATTGTATATATTAGCAAAACAGTGTTGGTAAACGTAGATGTCGTATAGATAGCTAAGCTAAGAGCTTTACATATGAAAGAAAATGAATATTAATTTCTAAGTTCAAGTCTAGGATATTGCTTGTCCAATATAACAGTATTGGTAAGTGCTGATTAGTGTTGAAAAGTGCTCGTTATTTATCTGTTTAGTTAACATGTGAACACATACACTCTAACATACGGTGCTAGAAAGCCAAGTCTACCTAGCTATAGTGGAATATAATTTTCAATTGAACTACTACAACAGTGCAGTTTAGTGTTGAGCAAACACTTTGTACTGTTAGGTTAGCAAATAGGAAACGAAAGAAACGATACTTTAAGTAGAAAAATAATAAATGGCATTATTGGCTTTTATTTTATTTTTTTTAATGACTCACGAAACAGTGTTGAATATTTATGCTATGCACAGTGACACTGCATGGAATCGTGACTAGGATCAATATACAAATGTCGCTTAGAAAAAAATCTTGGCAATTATATTGGTGGGTGGGGCTGCTTTAATTAAACAAATAGCCATAGAGTCTAACTAATTATAATGATTCTCGAAAAAAAAATAGCCAAGGAAAATACGTAAACGAATAAGTTATAGATAGATGATTAACTAATTTGATTGTTTGCCTGACCTTAGATCAATTGAAAAGAATCTGCTAAGTAAAAAGCGAAATTCGCATTCTGGGAACGTGCTAAGTGCACAAAGTGTTCCCACTGCTCACTGATCTTTGCGACTGTCAACAAGCTGAGCTCACTGTGTAAACTGTAAATGCTCAAAGTGCAGTTGCAGCATGACGTTGAGATGACCAGGAACAGCTCTGAAGTGATCTCTGTTCACAAGGTGTTAAATCAATTTGCCTTTTGCATGCGTCAGCATACAGCATACAGCATACAGCATACAGCATACAGCATACAGCATACAGCATACAGCATACAGCATACACCATACGTTGAAATACCATTGCAATGCTCAGGTTCATTGAAAGTGATTCAAATTGCAAATAAAATAGCAAAAAAAAAAAAAAAAAAATAAGTTATTTTACCAGCTCTTATGTGTATATATGCACACTTATCTTATCTTTGGCTGTTTTAGTTTGATATAATATATACTTATAAAGTATTTATATTCATTGTTTAAATACTCAACATTGATACAATGTGTTTAGTTTTTTGTAAGTTTGTACAGTGTACTTCGGATTTGCATTCTATTTTAATTATCAGTTGAACCTGAACACACGTTTGCTTAGTATATATGCGCACACATACATACATATGTAAATTGATAGAGCTGTGGACTTTAGGCGCTTTCGTTGTTGCTCGTTTTTTTTAAGTATTCGCTTGAACTATTGCTTGAGCTCGTGTTCAAGGAGCGTAGGAGAGCTTTTGCCCTAGCTCTCACTCATTTCCACTCATAGATTCGAAAGCTTTCACACTCAAAGTTCTTAATATGCTGCTTCGCTCTCTCTCTAACTCGCGCTTTCAATCTGATCATTACGCTCTGCTGCTTTGTCCTTCGCACTTAAAACTCTATTAGCTTGAGCTGCTTTTACATATGCAGGTCTAAGTCTTAAGCGCACTCTTTCTAGCACGCACTTCACTCTCATTTTTGTCATCCATTTATTTGATTGGTCAGTGATCTTTCGTTTTGGTTGACAACCGTTTTGCTTTGCATTCCACTAAAATGTCTCACACTCTTTCGGCACAAATGAAAGCTCCCACTCGCATTACCATCAAGGCGCTCTCCCGGTTTGTCCTTCCCATATGAGTTTATATTTGCTTGAGCTACAGACCCAGGGGCGCATTTATAAGGGAGGAGAATAGACAGTTACCCGGGGTCCCCGAAAAATTAAAGAGTCTATTATAATGGAAAAAGAAGAGAACGGACGTGATAAAAAAGGGCCCAGAAATTGATGGGCTAGGGCTTCGTTGGGGGTAATCCGGCCCTGTGCAGACCTCTGACTTACACACACTCTCACTCTCATTTTTACGCTCTTCTGCTGCGATTGGTCAATGATCTTTCGTTTTGCTTTGCAGCTACTTTCGCACTGCTTGTTTGGCTTTTAATTAAGAGCTTAGCTTAGAATGCACTCTAAGCGGGCGCTCGCGCTCTCTCTTCTGCTTGCTTCTCTTCACATTAGCATTCTTACTCTCATTGTTAGGCGCTCCAACTGTTGCTCTCCCGCTGCGATTGGTCAACTTTCTTTCGCTTGTCTTTTGCAGTCGTTCCGCCACTTGAGCAGCTTTTTGTTTTGATATCTTCGTATTAGTTGCGTTCGGTCGCTTGCCGCCAGCAGTTGTGGATCGCCTGCGCTAGCCATTGACACTGCGCGCCTCATTCTCAATATTATCGACATTATCATAGCTTTTCGATTATCGCGCGTAAATAGAATTGAGTAAGTAGCCAGGCAGAAGATATACATACATACAGACATTCATACATATGTATATCGATACTTTTGCATATTCATGAAAAACAAATGAATTCGCCCTCCCAATGCAGCGCACTGCGAACACAAATCCAAAGTTTAATGTGAAACTTTCGCCACTAACGAGTTATTTTCTTTCGCCTTCGTTTTGTTTTTGTTTTCGTGCCTGGTGCGGATCCAGGAACCATGTCGCTGCTCGTGGTGCTGCTCATTTTGTACATCATTTGGGATGTTAACTACTTCATACGCTGCATTTTCACGGTGCTTGCCGGCCGGCTGTTCCAGGGCAAGCGCAAGGTGACGGACACCACAACCATCTACGGGCTGTGCACCTCGCAGGACGTGGACATCTTCCTGCGGCACATGAACAATGCGCGCTACCTGCGCGAACTGGACTTTGCCCGCTTCCACTTCTATGCGCTGACCAATCTCTACGAGCTGGTGCGTCAGCGCGGCGGCGGCGCCGTCCAAGGGGCCAGCAGCGTGCGCTATCGTCGCACCATTCCCATCTTCCATCCATACAAGATCCAGACGAAACTCGTCTGGTGGGATGACAAGGCCATCTATCTGGAGCAACAGTTCATCACGCTGGCCGATGGCTTCGTCCGCGCCGTCGCCCTCTCCAAGCAGTGCATCACCAAGTGCAATGTCAACGAGCTGCTCAAGACCTATCCCGAGGCGGCCAAGCGGCCAGAGATGCCGGCGGATCTCAAGCTCTGGTTGGATGCCATCGAGGTGTCCAGCCAAAAGCTGCGCAAAGACAAATGAGCTCCAATTGGGCCGGTCCAATTGGAATGAACTGCATCCAATTTCGTTTACGTGTAGTTAAGTCTCTTCTTCGCCTTCCTCTTTCTTTCCCATCAATATTTTTTTTTATCACTCTTTAGGCTTAGTTTCTTCTGCTTTCCCCTTTTCTTCATCGGTTCGTTTGCATAAATAAAATGAAATATATTTTTGTATGAGGCTAAAAAACGGGTTGTCTTTCTTGCTGGGGCAACAGTGACCTTACGTGACGTAAGATTGCATAACGTAGTGTGTGATGTCAGCAACGGATTTAAATGTTATCTATGACGATTTTAAATGTGTGCTTAACGTAACAAGGTAACGTAATGAAACGTAGCTGAAATTAACGTAATCAAGGGTGTCTCTTAGAAGATGATATGAAATGCATGTATTTTCGATTGTCATTTAATAATATAGGCATCACGTAAGGTTACGTAACAAAGCTAAACGTAACGCAAAGTAAGAAGGTTTACGTTTCTACCTATAATTTATATGAGTTATGGAAATCATTTACGTATAACGATAACGTATAATATCATTACGTATGTAACGTAACGTAAGCAACTGTGTAAGTTGTTACACAGCTTTCAATGTGTCCCGTTATCTAAAGCTCAACTATCTTTGTGCTCAGCTGTTCAGTAAGCTTTCCACTTACGACGCTTATTTTCGGAAATTACTAATCAAACATAATTAGGTCTTACGTTATTTTGCACATATCCAATCCATCATTTACGTAACGACAGAGTTGTAAGAGCACAGCTTTCACTTTGATCATTAAAGCAAATTTTTCCCAAATTGTTTCCAAATTTAAACATTAATTATTATAATCTCTTTACCCTGTAACTTGTGAAGTGTCCCAAATAGGTTGACCAACTAAATGCCTTAGATCAAATAGGGTATATATTAGCATGCACTATCAGCTGGTGTCATTCATGTATGCTCATATTATAGATACATCCGTATGTACAGGGTATAAGCAAGTCGACTACTCTTAAGTGAAACAGTGTAGCAAATTTGTTGGATAATTTATTACTTTAAGGCATTGGCTTATTTATATTCATTTTAAATCACCTTACGCAAGAGCTTAAAGCTTTTGTTGCAACTAAAGCTTTAAGCTTTTGTAAAGGGAACTCACACTAAACTTAGATACTAACGCGCTCAATTTGAACAAAAGATGGAATAATATTTACGCCACATAAGAGGTATACTCTGCTTTATATTCAGTATGAAATTACTTCAGACTTAGAATAGATTGGCATAAAGTCCTTAACTACGCCACTTGTTGTTTGAAAGGTAACTCTTAGTCGTATACTCATTTGGAAAAAAAAAAAAATAATAATAATAAAATAAAATAAAATGTATATATTCATATATGTATATATATAACTTTACATACTTCATATACAGCAGCTGTTGACTTACAGGGTATGTTCTAGTCGTTTACTCATCATGATGTCTATTATAAGGCATCACATATAGTCTACACATGTGAGTATTACATTCATCAGGTGATTGATTCTTTATTTTTATATATATTTTTACAGAGTATCTATGAGTCATATATTTCCTATAAATTTTTAAGTGTAATATAATTGTATTACTTAATTGAATAAATTAAAAAAAAAATAAAATAAAATAAAAATGTATATGTAACATACAAACTGCTTAATTTGTCCTCTTACACGGTATCTTCCAGGTATGCATTTTATTTATTTTTTTGTTGAAATTAATTAGAAACACTAATTTAATAGGAAATACGTCTATTTCATATATAAATAATAAATATAAAATTAAATGGCTGAGATTTTTTTTTTATTTCAAATAAATTTAAAAGAACGTCATCAAAAGAGTATGCATATATGTTATGTGGCTTACAGAGTATCTTCTAGTCATATTCTCTTATTTTTAATGGCTGTATGAGATCTAGTTTTGATAAACTTTCAATAGACGCTCATCTAAAGGGTACAATAAGCTTTATATGAGATAAATATGATTTTCCAGGGTATCTGCTAGTCGTATGCACAAGAAAATTATTGTGCTCTTTTGGTTAAAATAAATGAAAAACCATAGCTGGATTAGAATATGCGACCGGCATCTGTTTATTGTCAGACAGGGCATCTTCTAGTCGTATACACCCTGCCACGTAGTTGGCATTTGTTTATTAAACAAATCTCTTAAATTATATTACAGCACTTGTCTAGCCGCTGCTGCTGCGACCCATTCACCATCTCATTTCCATTTCCATTTCCATTTCAATTTCCATTTTCTTGTTTTAGGCTAATTTATTTGTTCGTCCAACGTGGCGTATGCGCGATTTTATAGCGATTTATGGCTGTTTATAGCATTTAATATATCGGATAGGCACACTTTTTTTATACCCTGAACCCATTTTCAATGGGAAATCAGGGTATAATGGTTTTGTTGAAATGTATGTAACAGGCAGAAGGAGGCGTGGCAGACCCCACAAAGTATATATATTCTTGATCAGGGCGACGAGCTGAGTTGATTTGGCCCTGTCCGTCTGTCTGTCCGTCTGTCCGTCTGTCCGTCTGTCCGTATGTATGAACGCGTCGATTTCAGAAGATATAAGAGCTAGAGACTTCAAATTTTTTTAAAATGTCCGTAATTACAGCGCGCATATCAAGTTTATCATTAAAAATCGATAACTCATCTCGATCTTTTTTTATCGATAAAAAACCTTATCGAAACCCTGTTATAAAATTATATCTTCTACACCTTTATTGCTAGAGACTCCAAATTTTTAATGTATGCTTATATGCAATTTATACAATTTCGGTTTTTGTTAAAATTTACCCCCCACCTCTAAATTCTCCCCCCTCACCCTCACTTTTGTAAAAAGCGTATTTCAAATACTAGAGACTTGTGCTTTGGCAATTACATGCATATTCATGTTATAATCATAATCTAAAAGTTTCATGAAGATCGTACGTCCATAAAAAAAGTTATTAAACAATTAAGTTCTCATAGTAAGCGCACACTGCAGCCCATGCGTGTTTATGCGTGGTTGCTTGTGTGTGTATGTGTTTGTGTATGTGTGTGTGTATGTGTGTGTGTGTATGCGTTTGTGTATGTATGCGTGTGTGTGTTTATGTGTGCCTGTGTTTGCGTACGTGTGTGTGTGTGTGCGTGTTTCTTGTGTAAGCTGAAAGTCGCGAAAAAGTATTGAAATATCTATTGCTCCAAGGGTTCAGGGGATCTCGTAGTCGAGCAGTCTCGACTAGAGCTTTCTTACTTGTTTTTTTTTTTTTTTTGTAGAGTTCGGTTTTATGGGCCGTTTCTCTGCTCGATTTGTCTCTGAAATGTGGATCAAAACGTGACACTGAAAACCTAAACATAAATCCCATTCATAAGTATGCAACGGGCGTACGCCAGAGAGAGAGAGAGCGAGAGAGAGAGAGAGAGAGAGAGAGAGAGAGCGAGAGAAAGAGAGCTTGCAACATGCTCCATTGTGGCAGCAGCTGCAGCAACATTTCGCCGTCTCTCGTGCGTGTTTTGTGACTATTTTTAACGTCGACGGCGAAGAATTTTCAGTTTACAATTTTCAGTCGATTTTGAACAGTCGCTGCGAGCGCATAGAACGAACAGCAGCAGCAGCAGCAGCAGCACGCGTCGAGGCAGCGGACAATAAATATAAATAAATTTAACTAAATCAAAAATATAAAAAGAAATTAAACAAATAATACATATAAATTAAATTCAAATATTTTTTTTTTCTGGCTCTGCTGCATTTGCCTAACGAATTATTAGTGTTGTAAAACAAGCAAAAAAAAAAAGAGAGTTAAAGTAAACAAATTTTTAAAAAATATTTAAAAAATTAACAAAAGCGTACAAAATATATGTAAAAGTGTTTTGATATTTTACAGTTTTTTTGTTGAGTGTTTTTTTTTTTGAAATTTTTTTGCTGTGGCATTTGTTATTATTTTTGTGTTGCGAACGAACATCGAAGCGTTATAAAAACAAAAAGTATGTGCTGCCAATATATATAGACTCTATATACATATATATATGTATGCATGTGTGTATGAAATCATGTACATGTATCTTTGGTTAAGCATGTGCTGCTGATATTTATGCAGCTCACTTGTTACGCCCGCGTTTCAAGTTTATTTATTGTAAATATTTATTTATTTATTATGCGAGCTCTAGAGACACAACAACAACCATAGCAACAACAACAAAATAGCAGCTTGCACAGTTTATTGACAGCAGCAATAGCAACAGCAACAGCAGCAACAACAGCAACAGCAGCAACAGTTGCCGCCGCCGCCGCCGCCGCCACACAAAACCAGATTCCCAACAACTTGAAGTAATTTGCAACTGAAAAGAAATGTACAAAAGCCGAAGGGGGCGGCAGGCAGGCCTGGCTGGCGGGTGGGGGTAGAGGCTGAACGGGGGATGTCGTCAGAGTGAAGCTCTTAAAAATAACAACAGCAACAACCACAAAGAAAACAAACCAACTTCAAGCCGGATAGATGGCCATAGATTGGCCCGCTTTGAGCAGAGCCAAGAGACGGCGCAAAAAAGAGAAAACTTTTTTTCATTTTTTTTTTGCTGTAAAGCGCGACACTTTTTACAACAACAACAACAGCAGCAGCAACATTGACAACAACAACTTTGGCGGCTGGTCAAGCGTCAGTGAAAATGTCTGCGAAATGCGGTCTAGCGAGCCAAAACGACAATTGCTGGCCATGAAAATGAGCAGCAGCAGCAGCAGCAGCAACAACAACAGCAGCAGCAGCTTTGATAGCAGCAACAGCAGCAAAAGATTTCGTCTTAGAGCGACTTTTGTCAGTGTCAAAGCAGCTTAGATAGTTTGCCTGTTGCACAACAACAGACACAAGCAGCAGCAACAGCAGCAGCAACAACAGCAGCAGCAGCAACAGCAGCAGCAGCAACAACAGCAGCTGTTGCTTTAGTCAGCACAGCAATGGAACCTAATTTTGTACATTTGCCTTAACTTTCTATAACAGCAGCAATATGTGCTGCTGCAGCGACAATACTAGCAGGAATAGTAGCAACAACATCAACAGCAGCAGGAGCAGCAGCAGGCACAACAGCAACATTCGCTTTGTTAGCCTTTTACAAGCTTTATTTATCAATATAGACACTAGCAGGAGCAACAACAGCAGGAGCAGCAGCAACAGCAAGATCAATAGCAATAGTTATTATAGTAACAACAGCAACAGCAACACCTGCTGCCATTGCCCTTACTTAGCTCTCAAAGTTCACTTTTGACTACTTTCCAATATGGGCAACAGCAGCAACATGCTGAGCAGCAGCAGCAGCAGGCGCAACAGCAACATTTGCTTTGTTAGCCTTTTACAAACTTTATTTATCAATATAGACACTAGCAGGAGCAACAACAGCAGGAGCAGCAGCAACAGCAAGATCAACAGCAACATCAATAGCAATTTGTAGTAACAACAGCATCAGCACCAGCAACAACAACAGCAACACCTGCTGCCATTGCCCTTACTTAGCTCTCAAAGTTCACTTTTGACTACTTTCCAATATGGGCAACAGCAGCAACATGCTAAGCAGCAGCAGCAGCCGGCACAACAGCAACATTTACTGCTGCCAGCAACATGCGCTTTGTTATCCTTTTAGGAACTTCATTTATCAATATAGACACTACCAGGAGCAACAACAGTAAGGAGCAGCAGCAGCAGCAACAACAACAGCAGCAGCAACAGTTGCTATATAATCAATAAATTGCTGCTGCTCTATCCTTTCGTCTGACAGCAATATCATAGGCATTGCTCGTCTCATAATGCATTAATGTGCTGTCATTTAACTCAACTTCCGGCTCAATCTAATTTTCGCTTATCAGCAATTGCCAACAACACACAACAACAACAACAACAACAACAGCAACGAGAGCAGTTGCCTCAGGCTGAGCGAATGCGTTGTCCTTTCGCTCAAACATTCCGTCTGATAGAGGAATACAAATGACAGCAACAGCATTGACAGCAGCAACATGGGCAATAGCATGGAGGAGCAGCAACAGCAACAGCATCTGCTTCCGGTTAACTGTCACTCTGCTCACTGTTTGCGCTTCCTCTATGTTGGTCCAACAGCAGTAGCAATATTTGCCATAAATCGCAACAACAATCGTAGCAATAGCAATAGCAGCAGCAGCAGCAGCAACAACAGCAACATTTAGAGCTAATTTCAGCTCTTTGCGTATACAGACATCAATACAGTGCCAACAGCAACAGCGAGAGCAACAGCAACAGCAACATCAGCTCCCTTGTATTAACTGCCATTCCGCTCAAACTTCTTTGATCTTTTCTCTGTCTCGCTCACTCTAGTTCCATCTAGCTCTCTCTCCCTTTCCCCCTTTCTATATACACTCTCTGTACCATGTCCATCTGCCCCACAGCAGCAGCCACAGCAACAGCTAGAGCTCATTTCATGCTGTGCACAGCAATGCAGAATATACCAGCAGCAGTAGCAACAGCTAACAACAACAGCAGCGCAACTTCCTTTTCCTCACTGCAACACAGGACATGCTAGCAGCAACAGACAAACAGACAAACATCAACAGCAGCAGCAAGCGCAACAACAACAGCAACATTAGTAATAGCAACAGCAACAGCTCATTTCAGTGTCTCCCTCTACACATAGTAATACTGGGTAGAGTGGAGTAGCAGCAGCAACAACACCTCCAACAGCAGCAACAGCAACAGCAACACTACTGTCATTCTACTCAAACTCCTTTGCCCATCTCTCTCTCTTTCTCACTCTCTCTCACTCTCTCTCTCTCTGTGTAGCGTGTCCCACAATTATACTTAACAGCAGAAGCAACAACAGCAGCAACAGCTATCTTGCATCACAGCAATACAGGACACAGCAAACAGCAAGAGCAATATAAACTCTTCTATATATAGCAGCTCTTTCCACATAGCAACACAGGACATGCCAGCAACAACAGCAGCAACAGCAATAGCAGCAACAATAGCAACAACAGCAACAGCAGCAGCAATAGCAACAGCAGCAGCAACAGCAACAGCTACTTTGCCTCGCTGCCTCCACACTCTGTCCCCTTGGCTCGTCCAGCACTCGACCACGCCCCCACCCTCTCTGGTCTAACCCTTTGACAGCTTTGGCAACTCTGAGATCTCTGAACTATGGCAGCGACATTTGGGCAACTGGGCAATTTTTGATGTGTGCACATAAATCACTCTCGCACATCCGCACACCAACACAAACACAGACACAGACACACACACACGTAGCTAGATAGTTGCTAGTTGAAGTGGGCAGTGCTATGACTGTGGGCGTGGCAGTGGGCATAAGTAAATCGCAAATTTCCAGCGCCAAATGGCATTAAGTCCGTCGCGTTATTGAGTTAAATTGAAAAATAAGCGAGCGACAGTTACAGTTGTTGTTGTTGTTGTTGTTGCTGCGGTTGTTGTCACTGTTGTTGTTGCGCACAGCAATTGTTCGCACTTGTCGCACAGCTCAACTGTGGCCCCCAAGCCCATGTTGCGCATTATTTGCAACTATTTCATTGAGGCAACATCATCATCATCGTCATCATCATTATCATTATTATCATCATTACGATTATGAGCAGTCGGCTGGGTTAGACGGTTGCTGCTGTTGCTCTAGTTGTTGCATGCAACACTTTTGCTTGACACTGATTGCTGCTTCCTTGGCGCGTGCTCGCGATTTTCGTTTGCCTAGCCCACGCCCTCGCCCTCGCTACCGCCACGCCCCCTCCAGCCGACCACCCCTTTACCACGAATGCTCCACTTGTTTTTGCTCTAATGAAAACTGATTGCAGCTGTGCCCTTGCCTGTCCACTTTCATGATATATTCTACCTCAGCCTCTACCTCAGCCTCTACCTCAGCTTCTACTTCTGTTTCTGCCTGTGGCTCTGCCTCTACCTCTGCCTGTGCCTCTACCTCTGCCTCTACCTCTGCCTCTACCTCAGCTTCTACTTCTGTTTCTGCCTGAGGCTCTGCCTCTACCTCTGCCTCAACCTCCGCTTCTGATTCTGCCACTGCCTGTGCCTCTACCTCTGCCTCTACCTCAGCTTCTGCTTCTGTTTTTTCCTCTACTTCTGCCTCTATCTCTGCCTCTACCTCTGCCTTCACCCCCGCTTCTGCTTCTATCGCTGCCTCTACCTCTTCCTCTGAGTCTACTTCGGCCTCCACCCCCGCCTCCACTTCTGCTTCTGTCTCTGCCTCTAACTCAATTAGCAGCATGGCAAAACTTTCGTGCCGCAATGATATCTCAAGGAATCACGTCGAGCTGGTATCGAGACGGAGAATTCTCGGCCTGAGTAACTTTTCATATTGTCTATCCTAAGACTTTTATGTTCTTTACTATTCCAGTTATGCCTTCAGTTAAGTACCGGAAAGTTTAGCCAATTTAAGAATGCTTCCTTGGGTTATACCACTTTACATGAACTGTAACCAGAGATGCCTGGCTATCTGTTGATCTATCTATAGCTATATCTATGATATACCAAATCTATATTGATTTATATTTATATTTATATAGGGACTTATTTAACTCTATACAGATATATTTATAAACAATCCTTAACCCCTCTAGCTCGTATAGCGAAACCTCTCTTAGAAATGCTTTCTAAAGATTAGAGTAGGTAAAACTACCTACAGCTAAAACTGGAACAGCTATGAGTTCCACAAATCTCTATGTACCGTTTAATTCTTCAACTTCGACTATCGTATCTAGATCGTTTCATATATTCATATATATTCCATAGATTTGCCCTATAGGGTTTCTATATCTAGCTTTATCTGTATATATTCTCGTCTCTTTCTATAGCTTTATCTTTTTTGCTCTTCTAACCCTCAAAATTTGCCCATTTCCCGAAAAATCTGGAAAATGTTGGCCTCTATTAAGTCTATCTTATCTTATAGTCGATTAGCTTCCGACTTTCGTCTGCTTAACTGGGCAGTGCCTAGTCCCAAGCAATTCATTTGTCTAGCTATAATTAGTTTCATGTTTCTAGTCAAGCTTAGGTCAGAGTAAGTCTCTCTCTATCTTCCTCCCCCCCCTCTCTCTCTCTCCCTTTGGCTCTATTGTAAATCTAATGTAAGCTAAACAATTCAATTGGAATTTGGGGTCAACTGTGATTCGACTGACCTACGCTTACTATTTAAGGCAAATACGAAAGAAAAAAGAAAAACTAGACGCAGCTGGAGAAAACGAGTAAGCAAATGGGTTTATTTGGTATTCCCTCTGATCCTAGTAATGCCCCCCGTAGCTGCTGTTGTTTTTCTGTAATTTGAGCTGTAGAATTTCATAATAATCGCAGTGGTTGTTGTTGTTGTTGTTGTAAGTCGTCAATTTATTAAGCTTTACATATGTATGTGTGTGTGTGTGTGTGTGTATCTATATGCAACAGCTGCAATTTTTGCGGCTAGCCAATTGCTTAATATATACAGACATGCATATATATATTTATATATACATACAAACATACATGCATATATATATATATATATATATTATATCTAATATATATTCATATAGCTCCCGCTGGCATTTATCCAGTTACATCGCTGCAAAGGAAATACAATGGAAAAATGAGACAAACAGAAATAATTTGTTGAAATTTATGAATTAGAATTTATTTATACAGCACACACACACACACACACATACATTTGTTCCCAGTGATATCCGAAAAAAGCGCGCATTTAATAGATACAAATGTATCTAATGAATGCAGCGCAACGCGCATTCAAGTCTTTGCGCCTGATTTATGCATACTCTCTCTCTCTCTCTTTTTCTCTGTCTCCCTTTGGCATACTCTCTTTACCCTCTCTCTCTCTCTCTCTCTCTCTCTCTTTAGCTGCTCGCTGGAAGATGGGCAACGCCGGCTACACATGCATCCGTCGCACCTTTTGCTGGCTCAACATCATTTTGTGGGTGAGTTTTTTTAGCTTTAAATATATATTTTTTTCGTATAACCAGCTGACAACGCGGCCAGGGCCGGATATGCTGCTGTTGTTGCTGCAACAACAACAACAACAACATCTACAACAACAATGGACAACAATACATGAAATCGATGCGACGCCGGCTAAAAGTTCTCAGCCTCGTCTGCAGCGGAAACGTCAAAGTTGTTCCATTGTCTCACAAACTCTCTAGCGCTATCTCTGTCTCACTGCCATCCTCTCTACCTCTCTCTCTTTTGTTAGGCAACAGGCTGTTGCAGCAGCTGTTGCTGCATTTTCAATGCAACCATTTATCGATAATAAGCCCTTCAATCACTTATCGTCTCTCATCTTCTTCTGTTTAATGCCTTTCACCCCACACTTGCTATCGATTATTATCGATAATTGGTATATGTTGTTGTCGTACCCCACTCTCTCCCTTTTCGACGCCTTTCCATACGTTACTCGCTATCGATTATCATCGATATATTATATCTCTTATTACTATCTTTCGCATTCGTTTACCAATAGCTATCTTTTCCCTCTGCCTACCTCCCTGTCCACCCCACCATTCATCACCTCTCATTTACTTATCTCACATCCCTCACTTGAAATCGGCTATTATCGATAAATTGTGGCATTTTTTGACATCCTTTGCTATCTTTTGCCGATAATCAGATTATCGCTCTCCCTCCCATCACTCATCTGCTCTTCTATGCCTTACATCGCAAACTTGCTATCGATAATTATCGATATGTTTTATCTTAATTTGCTTACAGCTCTGCAGTTGCGCCTTTCTCGGCGCTGGACTGTGGCTGCGCCTCAGCTACGAGGGCTACGCAACGCTGCTGCCGCAGCATGCGGGCCTCAGTGCGGACACGATCTTCATGTGCATCGGTGGCATCGGCTTTGTGGTCAGCTTCTTCGGCTGCTGCGGCGCCTGGGTGCAGTCGCGCTGCCTGCTCGTGCTGGTAAGTGCAAGGGGGGGCGACAGCCATATCGAGGGCCTACTGTAATCTAATCGGCTGTCCACTGCAGTACTTCATGCTGATTGTGATGCTGTTCATGAGCGAGTTCCTCGTCGGCTCCATTGCGTTCCTCTTCCGCGGCGGCCTCGGACGCACCCTGGCCAACGAGCTGCGCTTCGGCATCGAGCGTCACTATAATGCCAGCGATCGGGGCTCCCTGGTGGCGCCATCTGTGGCCGCCATTTGGGACAGCGTCCAACAGTCGGTGAGTTATTTCTCTCTCTCTCTCTCTCTCTCTCTAACATACATATATATATTTCCTTACTCTATTCGCTATGTGGGTGTGGGGCATAGTGGAGAATGGCTACTTTATCTGTTACCTACTATATGAGAAGCGATTCTACAATAGCAGCTGGGTTGTGTTATGGCTAAAATTTGAAAAACAAAATTTCATATATCAAGCTCTTATATATTCTGAGATCGACGCGTTCAAACATAGGGACAGACGGATAGGGCTAAATCGACTCGGCTCGTCGCCCTGATCAAGAATACCATTATACCCTGATGCCCCATTTTCAATGGGTTAGTTATGAATTCATATTAAGTTTATGAATATGTTAACGATAAGTCGATAAGGTAAAAAAAAATTGACTAGAGCTAAGACCCGAATTATAGAGCTTAAAAACCATCAGACTTTCTCAACGAATTGTAAGGTTCTTAGCTTAGGCTGATACGAAAGGACCCCGGACAACTGTTTCGAGGTCACCGTTTGAAAATCACTTAAGGCGATAGTAACAATTTTTTAGAGTATTTGGAAAAACTAAAGCCGCGGTTAACTTAGCGAATAGAAATGAATTTTAAAACATTTCAATTTTACAATTGGAAACCATCTGGTGTTCTCGGTATACATTTTTACGATTATCAAATTTCAACTAATTATTTTTCTTTTTTACGTCAGTCGAGCTCAAAGCGTACTTTAATTGACAAAATTGTGTAAAAAGGTAGTGGAGCAAAAGCCTACACTGATAATAAAATATTTCTATAGGAAAATGAGTGGAGCAAAGGCCTACATTGACTGAAAAATTGTGTAGAAAACGAAAATTTTTTGGTGTAAAATGGTATATGGTGAAAGTCATTAAGGAACGAGAGCATTGCAGTTCTTGGTTGTGGAACTACGAAGCTAAACAGTGCCTAACTAGTAGTTTACAGTAGTCATTACAGTTGTAGAGGCACTAGGATATATAGTTTTGGAGTCACGAAGAGTTGACTCTTTTGCAAGGAAGCCACCACATCTGCGAATAGAGCATGTCGATAAAAGTCAACTGTTTCACGCTCTCTCTCTTTCTCTCTCTTACAGTTTGAATGCTGCGGCGTCTCGTCATTTGAGGATTGGTACGACATTCAGTCATGGAGCGGCAAGCGCTGGGTGCCCGACTCCTGCTGCCGGCAGCTGTACGATCAGCGCCAACTGCTGACGGAGGGCTCCGGCGACGGGCTGGGCGCGATGCGTGTGGACTGCGGACGGTCGGAGAATCCGTCGCTGTGGTGGGACAAGGGCTGCGCCCACTCGCTGCAGAACTGGTTCAACGGCCAGCTGAACGTGGTGGGCGCCATCGGGCTGGGCATCGCCTTCGTGCAGCTGTTCGGGCTGATCACCTCGATGCTGCTGTTCTGCACCGTGAAGCACAAGCGGGCATCGGACACCTACAAGTCGTACTCCCCCTCAATCGATCCGCAGACGCGCACCAGCAGCTGGGAGGATTGAACTCGATTGTAGCTAGCGGCGAGAATTTCTAAAGCGGCGCCTCGATCAAGGCTATATAATGCATAATGATTATTTCTATATAGATGCATATAGATATCAACTTCTTTTTCTTCTTCGTCTTCTTCAAGTTCTTTTGCGAAATGTGCCAAAAATTAATTTAAATATTAGTTTCCGTATGCCTTATTATAATAATTATTAGTGATGCATCATCCAAAAGCCCAGCTGAGCTCGCCGTTCGTCTAATTAGTATTTCTCTCTTATTCAGTATTCACTGTAAGCGACGGTGCGTGCTTCAGCTCTATTCACTGTATCCAACTAGCTTTCTGGTATATCCATATTGTGATGTGCTCATCTAGTTTATATAGCTCTCCCTATATATAGATCTATTGGAACGACAACTGCCCGAAGGTTTATATATGGAATATAGATACAATATACAGATATATATCGATATATATATATATTACCGTATGCGTATATATGTCAAGCACATTCCTAAACAGAATCAATAACAAAAGTTCTATTTAAGCTATAAAATAAATTAAACTATTTATTTAAATAAAAGTTATAAAAAAAAATTAATAATAAAAAATTTAAAGAAATATATAAAATATAAAGATGTTTTCATTTTTGAGGTTGTAACCCTCAATACTCCTTCTTCTTCTCTAGAGACCCACCAGCTTGCCTCCGATAATATCCAATTGAGCGGTAATTCCCTTCGAAACGGTGCGCGCCAGCTCCTTGGGTTTCTGTAATGCAGACGATAAATGTAAGAAAATATTCTATTGTATATATTATTCAATACATCTATCAATATATTCACATCAATCGTTCCTTAATATTGATATTTGCTGCAGTGGATTTTAGGTAGTTAAGTCTGAAGCTGATAACAACAGAGTGAGAGGGCTTTAGACTGTGGATGAAGAGGGCTGATAGGCGAGCTCTACCTTGGTGAGGAGTTCAAGGAAGAGCAGGGTCTGGGGCAAAAAGAGGTGGCAGCAAGGGAAAACTGCTGTGCTAGAGACGTAAGACTAGGCTTATTGTCAGCACATTTACATTTATGAAGAAATCAGCAATTAGATTAGATGAACCGAGAATGAATAAATAATAAGAAACTCTGAGATAGAAGATAGAGCAAAGAGATACCATCATAAGTATACATATATCCAAAGAAAAAACAAGAGATTTTTTATCGATTACAAATGATCGATAATTTTGCATGCATATATTTAGACCATCAAAATTTTACAGATAGGCCTAGAAGTAACTACGATCATAACAAGAATTATTATAAATATAATAAATAATCAAGCGCAACAGACGATCAAAGAACGAGAGCTTGCGAGGCTTGCAGTACATATAGCTTAGAAGCAATAATGCTGTTATAAATAGTAAAGAAAGCATGCCAAAGAGCTCGACGATATGGTCGTTCAAATAAGTAAAAACCGGAGCTGGATCCAGTAGCACCTTGGGTGGTTTACATCCACGAGCAATAAGCTTGTTCAATTTCTTAAAGTGTTTCTCACATTTGAGTGGCACGCGGCGCAATATCTTGGCCTTGGGCTTTATAGGAGGATATTCGACTAGGCATTGCACCATCTTCCGGGCAATTTGGCGAGTGCCACTGGGCTTAGTGCGATGACTTTCCTTTTGACTGTGCATACGAATTCGCGGCATCACTTTCAACGGTGGATTGATATGCTCTACAGACTGCACAAGTCGAGGAGTTAGTTGCGATCCCAAAGAGAGTCGGTTATAACCGACTATACAATACTCGTTCACACTTCATAGAAATGGCAGTACACTCTGAAACGTATCTTGCTGATTCGCTAGCAGAGAAAGATCTAGATCTCAATGAACCAAGGGATTCACGTATCAGTGGATAAACGGACCAATGGATCAATAGATAAATTGATGAAATGATTAAGATATCGGCGTATGAACGCACTAATGGAACAATGGAACAACGGATCAATAGATGAATTGATAAACGCGCAAATGGATCCTATGAATAATACACCGACCCATTGATAAATAAGTCTATGGGCCAATGGATCGATGGATTCAGGGATCTGTTAATTCATAGATACTTTAGCCTATGAGTCCGATGGTCCGTTGGATCCATCAATTCATCAATCCATCGATCCACTAGCCCATAGACTTATTTATCAATGGGTCGGACCATCGGACTCATAGATTAACGGATCTATGAATTAACGGATCCATGGATTCATGTATCAATGAGCCCACGGGCATCTACACAGAGCATCTTGGACGGACAGACATTTCCAGCTGGGGCAGACAGCTAATAAGTTCTTTTTTCTCAGCTTGTGAACGGGCTGAACCAATGTATATATTCGCTTACTTCAGGATCGCTAATATCACTAATTATTTCGCCATCCTCTGACGGATAGCCCAAGCGATTTGTCTTGTTCAATATATCCAATACTTTATAGTGCCTAGCGGTGCCTAGGGCCTGATAGTCGTCCATATCAAAATCGTTGTCACTATCCTCAAACTGGACTTGCTTGGGCACATTACGATTCCATTTTGAGTGTGGAGTACGGACGGCTAGAGGCGAATTTTCTGCCTCACTTTTTGAATAACGTTTCTTTTTTCCAGAATACATTTTCGATTATTTAATTTCAACTACTTATATATTTTTTTGTCGGAAAAATAAAATTTTATACTTTTTTTTTTCAAATAATGTGTTCAGCTGTAGAAATAACTTATGAGTGAGGACTGAGCTCTGATGCTGGCGACCAAATCAAGTCGGTCGAGTCAAGGCCTACTTTGATTGAGAAAATTGTGTAAAAAAGGTAGTGGAGCAAAAGCCAACATTGATTGGAAAATTCGGTAGGACAGTTTTTATAGGAAATATATATTATATATATAAGCCAAATGAGCTAATTACAGACGTGTCCTAGTTCAACTTTAGGCTTAGCCTAAGCCCCTTAGGCCTAATTCAAGAAAGTGCAAGCCCTATGTAAGGACAATGTTGAAGCTTTTCGAATTATGGAACTCAAATCATATACAAAACATAGATAACAATTTTTGCATATATGATTGAACATATCATGAGCCATAAATATGCTGAGCTTTTTTATAGAGCTATTAAATAATTTATAGCTGTGACTATTTGTTTAGGTTCGGCCTTCGGGCGGAACCTTAAACAAAACCAGAAGCGGGGAGGGCAACAGAGAGAGAGAGAGAGTGAGAGAGAGAGACGAGCGGGGCTTGGGGCGAGGCAGCTCTTGTGCAATGCAACGTGTGAATCAAGTAACGCAAGCGCAGACAATTCACACACGAAAAGAGCTACAGATGCGGTGGTTGAGTGAGAGAGGGAGAGAGAGGGAAGGGCAAACTCACCTGTATGAAACTGTTGAGAAAATTGGAGAAGGCCTCATAGCCATTGACAATTGAGCGCGATATGTTGTCGAACTTGTCACCATTGTTGCCATACTTCTCATGCTCGCTGATGCTGTCCAAAATGGGCACAGGCTGCAATTAATAAAAGTGATCAGTGAACAGTAGCGATCAGTGATAAGTGATTAAAAGTGATCAGCAGTGATTAGCAGTGATCAGCAGTGATCCTCAGTGGTCAGTGGTAAGCAGTGATTAGCAGTGGTCAGGGATCTGTGATCAGCAGTGATCAGTAATCAGTGATCACAAGTGATCCGCAGTGGTCAGCGATAAGCAGTGATTAGCAGTGGTCAGGAATATATGATCAGTAATTAGTGATCACAAGTAATCCTCAGTGGTAAGTGATTAGCAATGGTCAGTGATAGGCAGTGATCAAAAGTGATCAGCAGAGGTCAAGGATGTGTGATCCGCAGTGATCAGTAATCAGTGAACACAAGTGGTCTGGAATATGTATGTAATCAGCACTGATTCTCAGTGGTCAGTGATAAGCAATGATATGCAGTGATCAGTGATCAACAATGATTAGGGATATATGAACAGCAGTGATCCTCAGTGGTTAGTGATCGGCTGTGATCACCAGCCATTAGCCGCTGTGATCAACAGTAGCAAAAGTGATCAGCAGTGATCTGCAATCAGTGATCACTGGGTACTGATCCCGTGATCAGTCACTTACATGCGTGAGATCAGTCAGCTTCTGCTGTGTATTGTCGTAGGCGCTGAGCACTTTGGAGGGCAGAGCCTCGCGCTCCAGATTCACAGACTCCGCTGTCTTGGCAGGCTCGGGCAGCAGCGAGATCTGTTGAGTGTTGTTCGTGAGTTCACTTAGCGTGTGTTCACTGTACAGAATACTTTGGCTATACGCACCTTGAAGCCCGCCTCGCTGGCGGCCGAGCTCTCTGAACTGTCGGCCGCATCTTCTGCAAACGCATCGAGTGCACCGAAATCTGCGGCCGAGACTTGTGCATCGATGGGCGTGGCACCGTCCGGCGTGGCAGGCGCCAGGGGCAGGCCCAGCGCCAGCTGCACGGCCAGCAGCAACAGCAGCGAAATCTTGAGCATTGCGTGAGAGATTATGAAACGCGGCGCTTACGAAATGAAAGTAAAAGCGCGAAAATAAAATCCGGAATCGCAGGCCAGGGCGCAGTGGGCGTAGTAGGCGGAGTTGGCAGTGTAAGCAGAGTGGGCAGAGCTGCTTTTGCGTACGGTCCGAGCGTGACCAGCTCCAACTATCAACTGACTTGAAGCGTCTGCGCAACGATTTGATTTCTTTTTTCTTTGCATCGTATTTATGTTTTTCTTCATTTCATGATTTGCTTTAGCCTGAACGCTTGGACATTGGCAAACACACTCGCTGGCGCTGCTCCACTCGATGATACATATAGATATATATATATGTATGTGGATATATATACTTACATACATACATGTATTTGGTTGGTAGACGTGCAGCTCGACGTTTCGACAACCGCTTGGCTGGCGGTCATCTGCACTTCAAAGGGAAAAGGTGACACCTCATTAAAAACAAAAAATATCATAAAACGGACGGACGAATGAGCCGACGGACGGACAGAGAGTTTAATTAAACAGCGGAAACTTAAACTGAAATTTAGTTAAAACAATAAACAAAACAGAGACAGAAAGTGCAATAGTAATAGTAATAGTAATAGTAATAGTGATAGTAATAGTAATAGTAATAGTAATAGTAATAGTAATAGTAATAGTAATAGTAATAGTAATAGTAATAGTAATAGTAATAGTAATAGTAATAGTAATAGTAATAGTAATAATAGTAATACTAATAGTAATAGTAATAGTAATAGTAATAGTAATAGCCATAGTAATAGTAATAGTAATAGTAATAGTAATAGTAATAGTAATAGTAATAGTAATAGTAATAGTAATAGTAATAGTAATAGTAATAGTAATAGAAATAGTAATAGTAATAGTAATAGTAATAGTAATAGTAATAGTAATAGTAATAGTAATAGTAATAGTAATAGTAATAGTAATAGTAATAGTAATAGTAATAGTAATAGTAATAGTAATAGTAATAGTAATAGTAATAGTAATAGTAATAGTAATAGTAATAGTAATAGTAATAGTAATAGTAATAGTAATAGTAATAGTAATAGTAATAGTAATAGTAATAGTAATAGTAATAGTAATAGTAATAGTAATAGTAATAGTAATAGTAATAGTAATAGTAATAGTAATAGTAATAGTAATAGTAATAGTAATAGTAATAGTAATAGTAATAGTAATAGTAATAGTAATAGTAATAGTAATAGTAATAGTAATAGTAATAGTAATAGTAATAGTAATAGTAATAGTAATAGTAATAGTAATAGTAATTGATATTATTATCGACATGAATTGTGGATTCGTTCAATTGTAAAAATCAGTTGCGCTTGTTTGAACAAGACTTGGCCCATCGTTAAAGTGTTGCTGTTGCTGTTGTTGTTGTCGTCTGGGCCGTTGCTGTTATGCAACATGTTGCAAGCAGCGCAACTAAAACGGACGGTGGCTCAAGTGGTTGCAGCGCAAGTCATTCGCCATTAATGCATCTATCCAGTAAAGATATTTCTTGGCTGCTTGTTTTCCTTATATAGATAAGGTTTCCATACACCTATATTTAAAGAGTACATTAAATTCGTATTTTTTTTTTTTAAGATTTAGTAGATGCATTTTCCGGCAATAATTATATTATATTATTATTGTTATTATATTTTTATTAAAATATTCGTTTATTTAACATGCATTTAATTTAAAGATTATGCGGATTTTGTTTATATTAGCGGAGTATGCTGTTATAGTGTATACAATTATTCGTATAAGTCAAAAATCTGTTTTATATGTAGTGTATTATGGATTCGTAATTGTTTTAATTTTTTTATTATTTTTTTTTTTAATATTAATTATTATTGTATATATTATGTATACTCATTTTTTATGTGCTCTTCAATATTTGCTCATATTTTGCCTTTTCCTTTTATAGTGTATACAAATATTCGTATATTCCTTCAGGTCTTAGGCATTTATATTGAGTGTAGAGTGCTCAATATTTATAGTAATATTATATGTTCATTCTTTGTCTTTTTATGTTTTTTTTTTTTTTTTTTTTTTTTCTTTTTTTTTCTTTAGTCAGTGTATACGATTATTCGTGCAGTGAGAAGTTGGTGGGTATATAGAGCATATCGCTGTTGATGTCGTCCTCCATTTCCTCCTGGATCTCGGCGATGACCTCCTTAGTGGAGATGCCAGTGCCGCCAAAGTCAACATCGTCGAGCTTGAATTCGCTATCCTTCGGGTCTTCCTTGGCATGAGTGGGCGATATATACCAATGCGGCAGCTCTGGCGACTTAAGTCGCGGTAGCTTCAGCAGTTCGTGCTCCGGAGTGCCGGACACATCGTTGTTGTTGATTTCCAAACTGTCAGCTGCCTTCTCCTGCTGCTCCTGCTTCAGTTTTTGCTGCTGTTTGCGCAGCTGCATGATGCTCTGATCATCGATGTCGCGCTGTCGATAAATGCGCTCCGCATCGTGGATGCGCATCTGCAACGTGTGGCGCGCATAATGATGGCGCTCCAAGAGCCGCCGCATCTCCTGGATACCTTCCGCGCGCTGCACGCCCAAACGGTGCTCCAGCTGACGATACTCGCTGACGCATTGCTTCCGCAGCAGCTCCATCTCCTGGCGCAGATTGTTGAGGATATCTAGGTCCATAAACATGCTCTCAGGCTGTTGTTCCTGCTGCTGCTGTGGACTTTTCTGCTGCTTTAGCAGTTTTTGCTGCTGCTCCTGCTGCTGGCGCTGATATTCCGGCGCAAAGTAGTGCGAGCGCTCGTAGCGACGGCGCTGTTGCGCCTGACTCGGATACCGACCCGAATACTGAGCCGGACCATACGAACCCGGATACGGATAAGTACTCCGCTTTCTCATGACCGGCTTATTTTGCACATACAAACGAAAGTACTCATCTATAAACACACGGGCATAAGTCAGGATGGCGCTATTACGAATGGAAATATGTGACACAAGCAAGCTCACCCAGGCTTAGATTCTGCACTTCATCACGCGATGGCACATCAGGCATTTTGATAAAAATATCCATTAGAAACTTTTTGTTGGAATTTTTTTAATTTTTTATTTACTTTTTTTTTTTTTTTGAAATTTCGACGTGTGTTACAGTTTCCTTAATTTGCTGGCAATGAACAATGAAAATATTTGACACTGGAATCGTAGGCAACTTCATTGAAGCTAGGATTTGAATTTGAAAAAAAAAAAAAAAAAATTCTCACGGACGTTGAGAAAATAACTTCAAAGTCGAGCAAGTTCAATATGCAGCTAACATCTCGCTTACACCTAGGGCGACAGGCAGACAGTAAGTATGGTTGTCTCTGTCACACTCATTGCTGGCCGTTCTCAACAGAATTTGCATTTTGTTTTGGCCAACTACCGTTACTTTGCGCACAGCTTTGCAAGGATAGCACGTGACGTACGCCCAGAGAGTGACGTCACACATGTACGTCACATGAGTTGTATACACATATGTGAATCAAATGCAAGTATGTCAAGCATGTGTGTATATATAAATATATATATTATTATGATTGCAATTGTAGTTAATCTTAAGCGAGTTAATTCAGCTGGCGGCGCATGCCTGTGTTAGTGTGACGTCACATTCGCATGCGCTCGCGATTCTGGGCGAGAGCGAACAACAGCTAACTGTTAAGTGTTAACAGCACTGTTAAATGTAGTTTCAGCGGCCGCCTAAAAGTCTGCAATGATATTTTCTTTCACTGTTGGCGCCAAATTCAAATCGTCCGCGCACATCGCAATTAATTGAAGTGCCCAATCGAATAGATAAAAACCAAAACAAAATCAGCTCAGCTAAAAAAAGGTATATGACAATCTTTTGCCTTTTGGGCTTGTCTAATAACAATTTGAAGAGCTGACGCAAGCAGCTAAATATTTTCACAGCTTATCAAAGAGTTTTTGCTTTTTTTTTTTTGTCTGTTTGCTTTCGGCTTTTATTACAAATCGTTATATATAGTATATAGTTTAAGTATAGTAATTACGTACATTAATCAATAGCAGCTAAACATTTAATTGTTAAATAATAACAACTATTCAACAAAATATGTAAAAAAAAAAAAAATATATGTATATATAAAATATATTAAAAAAAATATTTTTATAAATTCTATTTTTTTTTTTTTTTTTGCTTTTGTACTACGTCTGCTTAAAACATATTGCACAAATGTTTTTATTTTTCGATATTTTATTAGTTGCCAAATTTAATAGATTTTTCTGGCTGTTGCTGCTGCTGCTGCTGGCGACTGTTGCTGCTGCTGCTGCTGTTGCCGTTGCTGGTGCTGAAGCTGTTGCTGCTGCGATTGCCATTCTTGAGTATGCCATTCGTTTGAGCGCTGCCAGCGTTTGTGCTGCGCAACATCTCCCGCTTGCTGCGCTGCTCCCCGCTGTACTCACCAATCGTCACCGTGCCCAGCCGCAGCGTGCGTCGCTGCTGCGTCCCATTTGCTGGCGCTGCCGTTGCTGCATCGTAGTCGGGCTGCGGCATTGCTGGCGCACGCATCTGGACGTTGGGGCTGCGCACGGGCGACAGAGGCGACGCCGATGCAAATGCTGATGCTGACGCTGAGCTCAGCGGCTTGCTGCGAGCGGAGAGCGGCTGTCCATTCCCATTCCCATTGCTGTTGCCGCTGCCGTTGGGTATGCTCAGCTTGAGCTGTGCGGGCGGCTGTGGTGGCGGCGTCTGTTGCTGCTTCTGCTGTGGATTGGCAAACTGAGGTGGCTGCAGAGATAGAGAGAGAGAGCGAGAGGGGGGTATGGCATGAGTGACTGGCTAGATAAGTTTTGATAAGTTTTTTATATAAATCAACTTGCGAGCGTGGCAAGAAAATGAAATAAAGAAGAAAGAAGCAGAAGCTATCTAAAACAACTAAGAATGCTGCAATCGGGCATAGTCGACTGCGCAATGCTCGCTCATGCAGCTAAATTTAGATATTCCACATAATTGTTCTACTCGTTTGAATTGCTTAAAGTGTAACAGAGCTTAAAGTGAGCTTAAATTTTAAAGTCTTTCCCATACTGAAAGCTCTCAATGTGCTAAATTATTGGATATACAAATGGAAAAAGACTCGTGAATAGTTGAAGCATTCAAGCTAAGCAATTGAATAGTCTAAAGACTTAGTTTTCGATAAGCAAAAGCTTTCTTGATTTATTATGAATTCCAGCTTAACGAAAGTTCATTTAGGCTTAATGCTAAACTAGCAAAGCTCACTGTAAGCACATTTGCTTAACCTTTACTCAAATTAGCTGTAATTATATTCAAGTTAATTCGAGTTTAACTAAGCTCGTCAAAAGCTGAATGCGCTTTATAGACCTGCAATTAGCTTCAGCTTGGTCCAAGCTTATTGAAACTCGACTCAAATTCGCAGTGACTCAATGAGTTTCTAGCTCTCTCAAAATATGCATAAAATAATTACTAAAGCTCCTTTAAGCTCAATATAAGCCTAACGGCAGATCATTCAAGCTCCTCAAAACTCAACGAAAGCTAGTTGAATATATTTTATACATGTAATAATGGAGTGGTAGCGCTTTTTAGCTGAACGTAAGCTGATAGAAACTTGACAGAAATTATTTGTAAAGCTCATTAAATAGCTTTAAAAAAAAAAAAACATCATATAGTCGAGTCTGTGTAATTCGAAATGACAAGGGAATCAGTTTTTTTTTCAGATTTACACAGCAACTCAAATTATCGAGAACGAATTTCATTCAAGGGAATAAAAAGAATTATTTTCGATTTAACGTGGTTTTCGATTAAGTGGAGTAAAAATTATCGAGACTCGACTGTTCCCTGATTTCCCAATTCTAATAGGTGCAGAGTATATAAGACTAAGGACTTGCAAAGAGAGGCCCAACAAAAGCTAATTCAAGTCGCCGAACTATCAGCAAGCACTCGACGCAAGCGCATTAAAGCTCATCAAAAAGCTCGTGTGATATATTCAGCTCAATTAGTCGATTGGATGCATACAGCAAATTGATATCATTTGGAGATCGTGCAATTAGAGTCTGATCAATTTTCAGCTCTAATTGGCAGCTGTTTGCAATTTCGTTTTCAATCCACTTACCGGCGGTGGCAATTCCGGCGTTCCATTCACATTGCTGTTGTTGTTGTTGTTACCATTGAGCAGCAACATGCGATTGCTTCCGTTGTTGGCAGTATTGCTGGTGTTGCTGCTGCTGTTGCTGTTGCTGCTATAGTTTCTGTTGTTGCTGTTATTGTTGCTGTTGCTGTTACTGTTACTGTTGTTGTTGTTGTTGTTGCGATAGCAGCTATCATCGGGCATAATCGAAGTGCGTTTCAGCGTCTCGCCGCGCTCCTGCAAAATATTTAATGAGCCAACATAAAGTAAGCGACAAATGAGTAACGAAAATAACAAATCAGATTTTAATGAAATGCGATTGATTGATTGTTTGATTGATTGCCCAATTAATTGATTTTTGGTTTCAGTTGCTGAAGCGCTACCTCGTAGGTGGACATTATGACCAGCGGCCGGCCCATGGAGACGGGACGCATGGTGGGCATCTCGCTGGCACGCCCACTGTCGCCGCTGCTGCTGCCGCCCCCTTTTTTGGTACGTAGCAAACTCATTTGAAAACTTTAGAAGTTCTAGCTGTTCGTTGTTGTTGTTGTTCTTGTTGTTGTTCCCTTGTTGCACCGTTGTTGACGCTCGCCAATCGCTCGCTCGACTGGAGCTGAAACAGTTCGAACAGAGCAATAGCAGCGCGTCGCGATTTGCTCACCTGTCGCCGCAGCGCCATGAGATAAGATAACGGACAGAGCGACAGAGCGAGAGAGCGAGAGAGACGTGCACCTGCCCTCTGCTTGCCGATGGGATGACTCATGGGCAGTGGTGCGGGTGGTGCGGCTGCTGACAGCCGACGGCTATTGTTGCAATTAGATAAACACAAAAAAAAAAAAAAAAAAAACAAAAAAATACTGCTGCCCAAAAAAGGGAAAGCCAACTAATTGCATAACGCAAGCGAAGCTCATTTTATTTATTTATTTATTATTTATTTATTTTTTTTTTCATTTTTACAGTACTTTGAAGAAGAATACACAAAAGTCACCGGTGACACAAGGTCAACAAAATAAACACCTCAACAGACGCCACGAGTGTATATGTATGTATGTGTGTGTGTGCCTATACAATTTGTCAAATATTTAACTGATTAGCCTATTGCTTAGCCATTGCTAGGGCAGCTTGTGCAATTGCAAGTTAGAGCGCCGCCATAGGGCATACACGACTGACACATACCAAGGCAAGGCCACACCAACTGCTGTCATTCATGTTATAGCTGATTTCAAAAGATATCTTTCCCTCTCCTTTTCTTTATATATATACCTCTCTCTCTCTCTTTCTCTCTCTCTCTCTCTTCCTCTCTCTCTCTTCCTCTCTCTCTCTTCCTCTCTCTCTCTTCCTCTCTCTCTCTTCCTCTCTCTCTCTTTCTCTCTCTCTCTCTCTGTCTCTCTCTATGTGCACCTTAATGATACGGATGTAGAGAGGGTATGCCAAAATGCAGAATATGATTCTACACTCAAAACGCATCTGACATATGCTAAAAGTAACAATATTTTGTTTATCGATTTTTATCGATTGTATGCAAATTAAAAAATTTGATCGATTTTGATGAATGAAACTGGTTCTATATAATGTTTATAGACAAACTAGTCATTTGAACATGATCAACAAGCATATTACTAGAATGGATAACTATATAACAGTAGTTGCCTTGAGTTATCGATAATTTGTGGCTATTGATTAAGTGAATTAGATGCTTGTAAGTTGTAATTTTGTTATCGATATTAATCGGTTTTATCAACATGAACAAGTCATATATTACGATTTAAGGACTTGAGGGTTCTGGTTTAGGTTTGAGTTCTATAAGTACTATAAGCTCTTTAAAACTCTATACTCTCCCAAAAATATGCATATACATATATACACATAAATACAATCTTATCTATATCTCTTTCTCTCGCTCTGTCCCTTTCTCTGCTTCTCTCACTGTTTTTCTCTCTCTCCCTCTCTCGCATTTTCTATCTGGATATACGTGACAAACAACTTGTGCATCAAGATCTAATATCTCTGGATCTATATTACTTGCAGTTGGTTAATTAATTATAGTGGCTCTCTCTCTATCTCGCTCTATCTCTTTCGCTCTCTCTTTAATCTTCCAAGAGATAAGATTAGCTCAGGTCAAAAT